CATAACAACACCTCGCTTTCGGAAGTTCATGCCACCTTTCCTGGATATGATTGCTCCGTACCCAGTGATCAAACGCTTCCTTGCCAAGGTCAGTGAGTTTTGATTATGAGGATAATGTGCTGATGGGTGATAAGAAAAAAATGTGAGTCAAACCTTCACTTGTGTGATTATTGGCAACTAAACAGGATCTGCTCTATTTTTAAAACAGCCTTTAAGATCTCAGATAAGTGCTGATTTCATCCTGGTTTTTGTGTTGATAGCTGCAACTCAGTCCAATTAAATTAAGATTATTTAAATTTAATAATAAAGGCGTCAATATAAGATGTAAATACACAGAAAAAAAGTCTGTAGTTTCTGCAAATAACCAGTTAAAATATTGTTTGGCTGGAATTGCGAAATGACTTCAGTTCCCCAAAGCAACAATAAAATTTGAAATTAGTGATGTTGGATTGAGTTGAGTATTTAAAAGATCCGGCCAAAAATGCCGATGATAAAAACAAAGCTATTAAAAAAAGTTGTCAGTTGACTAATAGGGATAAATATAGATCAGCTTAAACTATCACCTGAAAATTTTAGTTTAGTAAAGTATTAATCACTTAAATGTTTATTTTTTGTTGTAAAGTAACAAATAAGCTGTTAGTAGCTGGGACATCTTTTGTATTTAGAAGCTCAATGCAGATTAATTAATAATGAAAGGTTTTAGCTGCTTCCCAGCTTAAGTTCAGAGGTTCTGTTGAGAAGCAGTGTAGTTTCATCTATTTTCCCATAATGCATCTGGTCTCCGTGATTCTCAGTTATTTATAGTGTGGTCAAGCTTTGTTGCTGACTGCATGGTGACGAGACAGTGTGAAATCTAACAGGACAGGGTCAGGGCCTCTTTAGCTGGACACACACAGACACTAAATACACTGCTCCGACACACACGGACACACTTGAATGAATTCATCCCAGGACACACATCTGAACTGTTGGTGAACTGCTTCAAGGGTGAAAATTAAATCAAAGACATGGCAACAAAAGAAATGGTTCAGTTCAGACACGATTTGCTCTCCCAGGAAAATAAAAACTCGCTTTTATTTTAAGTTTATACGATTTTAGCACAGTGGACATATCTCAATTTTAGTCTGAATGAAAGAAAACACTGACACGTCTTTGTCTAATGTTGTTTCCTGCCACTCCCTGCAGCCTGACACCATCTCCGGTTATAGTTCCACATGTATGCAAAGCTAAGTCAAACAAAGACAGCACTCCATGCAAAGATCTTAATAAAAAAGGGAACAGGAAGTATTAATGTCTTTCTTTTTTTCTCTCCTCTCCTTAATCATCATTTCGTGTCCTGTGTTGTTAGTAGCTGTAAGCCTCGGGTCTGGTTTTTATCTGGAAATTATTGGGGGGGCATAACAAAAAGTGGAAGACTGTAAATGTGTATAGTATTATTATTTATTATTTATTTCAAGTGAACAAGAAAACTTTTGAAGAACTCTTTCAGAAGTCATTCTTTATGTCATGTGTCTTCTATTATTAGCAATTCATTAGGTTGATTATTGTAAATTCATAGATTTTTGTAGTCTGTAAGATGCACAAAAGGAGTCCAAATTGATGTCTTGAAATTGCTAATAGCAGTACTCCATTAAAGTTTTCTTTGTCTACTGTCATATGTAATGAAGTAAAGCAGGAAACTGTCACATTACCAGATTTTAGCTGTACATTCTGAGTTATTCTGAGCTAAGTGCTAAAGTTATTTTACACTTTAGCACTAATAGTAAACATTCAATGCGTTTGTGTTTCCAGGTGGTTCCCCTGAACTGGTATAACATTCTGCTGCCACGCTACGCTCTGGTCCTGGAGCTGGGATTGGATGGCGAACTCATGGGAACGCTTCATGACCCGGAGGGCCGCCTCACATGGGCCATCAGCGATGTCTTCCAGCACCGAGGGAGAACCTACCTGGGCAGCACCGACCTGCCGTTCCTTCCCATCTTGGAAGGCTGGGATAGCTAATGATGACATATAAAGACTCTTTTCGTTTTATGTGGATGCAGGGTTCTTCACATTCACATTAGGACAACCACTAGTGTTTCCAGAGCAGTAAACTAAGAAAATATGATAACCTGAAGACATTTTAAGACACAGTGAATCCACCCCTAAAAATAATGAATGTCGAATCTTTTCCTCTAAAGACACGTAGTGTCCAAAAAACACAGGGCTACGGGTGAATCCCTGAAATACTGCTCAGTTTAAAGAAATAATAATAATTACACTCCCTGTTAAAAGTGAGTTTATCCTTCCCACTGTTGCCAAGTACTTGCTCATAAGGGCTATCTGATTGTGGTTTTCTTGCAAATATTTTAGGGTGTTTACCTTGCAATATAAAGTACCTTGAGGCAACTGTTGTTCTTATTTGGTGTTATATAAATAAAATGTAATTAAATGATCAAACTTATGTTTGACTTATGTTCATATCTGACCACTGTAGGTTAGAAACGATGTAGTTGGGGAATGGGATTACTGAGCAGATTAAAGTAAACCTCTTTTTACTCAACAATCAAAAGCAGAGAAAGTGTCTTTTTCTAGATGTGAAATCAGATTAGAAACCTGCGATGAACAGGGGATAAATATATCCTCACGTAAATAGCTTATGAGTTGTTTTTGCACTGCAGGAGAAAAACTGGAACACAACTGTAGAGACACCTGGTGGCTTTCCAACCATCACTGACTTTAATATCATCACTCGTTAACCCTAGAACACTAATTTCAGGTGATTTTCACCCATCCAGTTATTAAATAGGTGGCAATTTCCAAGAGAATTCATTTGGTAAACAAAAACTTTTATCGTCAGCTGATCAAAAAATTAAATGTTTTTGTTTCTTTTCACGGAACAGAAGTTTGATACCATCATGGGGAGGCTCGCGGCTCTCCAACGGGAGATTGAGAGACCAGTGTCGGAGTGTTAAAGAACAGCTTTAAAATTCTCCTGAGCTGCTCGCATAAAAGAAAAATCAACAACATCAACATGCGGACACCACGGCGCCAGCTGCACGGGCCCAAGGCTGGAGCCGAACAAAAACTCCCTGATAACAACTGTGTGATGACAATTCTTCCCATCCCATGCAAGGCCACCTGGGTTGGCTAGCAGACTGTTTACTTAGCCTGATAGGGTGAAGGACACTGTCTCAGCTGAACTATGGACACGCACACACATACACTTACACTGATAAGCACTCACACATTTCCCTTCCCCTTCTAATGCCTTCGATGCTTGTTGCCTCCTGGGAACACGAGGTGGGTCTGGGCCCGCGCTGGAGAGTCGGCGCAGTGGCAGGATGACTGTTGTGTTGCCTGGGATTACTCCTTATCCCCTACCCAACCCTGTTGCTGGTCACGTGCTCTATAATGTTGTACTGTTGACATTTATGTGCTTTTCTGTGCAGAGGAGTTTTTTTTTTTTGTTTCCTGTTCTCATGCTGTCCTCCTGTAGCCCAGCATGAGTAGAGGTCTCTTTTTTCTTCTTGTACTTTTCCCATTGTAGTGTCCATTTCAGTGGTTTTTCTGTAATGCAACCGTTCTCTGACTTGTATCCCCATGTGATGTCTGTGTTGTGTGTGTAAGGTCGGGGGGCGGGTTCATTCCACTGCAGGGCAACCTGCCACTGCATGTGGCGAATACAAATTTGAACTTGAACTGTCCCGGGCTTACATGTCCCAGGTATGTATGGACCAAAGAACAAGTTCCCAGTTCTATTTTTATTATTTTTAGTTAACCATTCCCTAATTTTTCACTAATTTTAGGGTACAGCAGCAGTCCCCAACCTTTTTTGCGCCACGGACCGGTTTATGCCCGACAATATTTTCACGGACCGGCCTTTAAGATGTCGCGGATAAATACAACAAAATAAAACTAGTACCGGTACCGAAAAAAAGAAGATTTATTCATAACACATGTGAAAAGACCCAGGAAAACAGAGTTAACGATAAAAACGATAACAAAATAACGCTGAAAACTGATAAAAAACCTGAAAACCATACATTTCACACCTGAGCCTCAGCTCTCGCGGCCTGGTACCAAACGACTCACGGACCGGTACCGGTCTGAGACCCGGGGGTTGGGGACCGCTGGGGTACAGGGTCCCCGCATACCTTTTTTTTTTCTTTTTATGAGACTTAATAGGGGGTAGTAAAAGAAGAGTACTTCAATTTGCCATATATTGTTGTACTTTAATATATTTTGATGGGAAGTATTTTTTGTCGGGTATATTGGGTAAAATTGGGTGATAGTGTTACTGTTCTTGGGTTAAATCCATTAGGTTTGGTTCACCATTACTGCTGAGACGCGGGCCTGGATTGTCAAATTTCGCTAACTTTTCTTTCTACAGAATTTGAAATGAACCTAATAAATGTGAATTTTGGACTGTCTTAAACTTGGAGGTTTACTGTTAATATCATGTTGAAAAGTTAGTCTTTTAAATAAAACTTTTACATTATTTAACATTCCATTGTGACTCTGTCCTTGGATTCAAATTTTTTTAAAAAATACATTTTTAAACCACAAATCTTTGGATTTTGGACGTTGTTAGTTTTTTGTAACAAATTTGAAAATGACAAATTTTCCATCCAATTATAACTTATATTTTATTTTGTATTATATTGCATTTTACAGACACTGGAGATTCTTGTAAACAACGTTACGAAAAGAGGTAAGAACAAAATAGCTGTACATTAAATCCCAAAATGTTTAAATAAGGTTAATCCCTGTGAGCCAAAAGCTTGGGCTTTACACAGCTCTAAATGCTGTTTCAGACAGTTTTTTCTATTCTTGGCTCTGTATGATGTCACTAACGATGTTATTTCTGGTAACATGCAGGATCACAGCTAATGCTATTAACTGCAGTGATTGAATGACAGTAGGACTGAGGCAGGTCAGAAATGTAATTTAATAAATATTTCAGGCAGTGTGGGACACTTTGGGACCTTTTTAAAGTGAAAAACTGAAGCAGAACGTGATTGCTTTAGAATAGATCTTTATTTGGACAAAAACACAAGCCAAAAATACATAATCAAAAACTACTCAAGGGTGCCAAAACGACTGAACTGTTCTGACAGAGCGGAAAGTGCATCAGTGAGTCCAAGATACGATCAGTGATCAGTTGTATGGGGGAGGCAGCAAAACAGTCCAGTGGAGGATTTCGATGATCACGTGAATTCAGTCCAGTTTTTTGAATACAGAGCAAGAGGCAATACATGAACACAATAATATTATTAAAGAGTAACAAGACAGTAGAACATGGGAAAGTCTTTTCGGTTCTCAGTCAACATGACACGCAGTCTGTTTTAAAAACAGATGTTTAGCATTTTCCCTCTGAGGTTTCCACCTCAGAGTGATCTGCACACATCTTACTGAACATAAATTTTACAAGTTTGAACATCAGCACAATGTTTTCAGTTCACGTAGGCCATGAATTTGTGTGTCTCAAGTTTGAGAAGTGCATCAGAAATGTAGTTTTGCTCCATCTTTTCCCCACTAGGATGGTTTTGGAAGGGTTGTTTGGTGCACGGTCTTTTATTTTGAAAGATTACAGGATGCTCTGTACTGTTGCTACATCTGACTTGCTGTCCTCCTATTTTTGGCAACCTGTGGCATATCTCGTCTTGTGCCAAGGATTCAATCGGAGTTTAATTGAGGGGTCGGCAGAATAATGTCAGCAAACTCTTATTTTTAATTTAAAAAAACCCTTATTAATTAAAATTAAAAGTTTTTTGTTTTGTGTAATCTCTCAAAAACAAACACTCGTCGTTTATCTTGGACATTGTGCTAAATTGGGAAGGGGGATCGTGTTAGAGTTACCATATAAAACCTGGGAGACTGAAATGATCAAATTTTGTTTGCTACCTTCATCACAGGAGGATGTGCAGGGCAACTTGAGAGGGTAATGTGACTGTGGCTTGAACTTGAGTTGATTAATCAGTCGTATAATTCTGATAATTTAAAATTTACTTGCTAAATAATTGTAAGATCTATTTGTTTCGGCCTGTCAGAGGAACCTCTTTTGCTCTGAGAACTTTGCTCTAAACCTGATAAAATTAACCTGAATACATGAACTGTTTACGAAAATCTTAAAGTGGAGCCTTGTTTGCAGTTTAGAGCTTGTATTTGCCGAAGTATTTCAAGTACAACTTTCTGCAGAGCCCCTAGAGTCCCTTAAGGTGCCATTTCCTTATCGTGCGCACAGGATTATTTATTATAAACTCCTACGTGTCTGTAATGAATGCATACAGCTGTAGTATAACGGAGAAAAATCTGCTAAAAAAGTTTTAGTTTGACCTAAGAAAGTTTTACGGTGTTAGGTAGTGGTTTGCAAGATTGGTCTTGACTGGAGATGAACCTAAGTTTTCAGCTAACGTCAGCACTTGTTTTTACTCAGGGGAAATATTGTAAGGAAAAAAAAATACTGTCTAGTCTGTTTTCTAGTTTTACGCAGATGGCTCCATTGATTAGATTACTGCTTTGAATAGAAACAAGTTTACTAATTGGTGCAAAATAAAAAAAAGAAAACAAACCCCAAAACAACAACAACTAAAATTGGAGTAGAAACTTCTTGGACAGACTTTTGTATCATTAACTACACAGCAGGTCACATTATTTGTCAAACAACTACAATGAACAAAGGCATTAAAAATAAAGTTGAAATTCCGGTTTAGTTACTCAAAGTACCTGAAGTAAATCTATGCTGGCATCCACCAGTTAAAGAGGGCCTGATCATATAATCCTTATACCATAATATAACTAAAATAAATGGGTTATTTTTAAATTAAACTACCTTACAGTTGTTATGAAGAGTTAGATTAACGGTAAAGACCAGAACTGCTTTTTGTAGCAGCCTGTAAATGTGTTTATTTCTAGTGCTAAGTTTGACATTTTAACATGGGGAATCTATTGGGACTGCCTCACTTTTGAAGCCACCCTCAAGTGGCCATTAGAGGAACTGCAGTTTATGCCACTCACAGTGAGCAAAGTCATATAAGTGAATTTATAGTAAAATTTAAAATGAGTGCATGAGATAGGGGGGGAAAAACAGTCACACCTAATGGGAAAGTAAGGGCTCTGTAGCTTTCTCTGATAAATTCAAGTGTTCAACCATAAATTAAACATTTAGAAGAGTGAGTAGTTGAAAGGAATTAAAGTGATATGTTCAGTGCAAAGTAAGGCTTATATGAAAACAGGGTTTTAATTCATGGCTTGCCTCGTGTAAATCAGTTCTGAATAATCTGGCTCTCTTTCACACCTACTGACAAAATAATTGAAAAGCAGTCCAAACAGACAGTTTAAAAGGTGGGCCTCCTATCTTCCAGCAGCGCCATAATATGACCCCCACCTGATCCCTTCTCCATCCTCATCTTACAAAGAGACTGGCTCAGGAGGCCCGACAACAAGGCAACAACATCAGGAAAGGCTGAATACATCACTCAACGCAGCCTTTCTTCCCCAGCTTCCCCACATCCTTCGCAGTCTTCCTACTTCACTGTCTGCCTGAGTCTGCTGAGCCTCCAGCTGTGGCTGGTAAACATTTGCCGTGGGTCAAATTTATACCTGAGGGGAGGAAAATATCACAGGGTAGAATAATTAATGCTTGTGTGTTAATAGAGCCTGGAAAACTTTACTAGAAAGGTAAAAAAAAAATGTAATTAATTAATTAAAAACTAATTGCTGACTTAAATAGAACTCTTGAGTAACAGGATATTTTTATTTTCAAGGTATTTATCAAGAAATCACAACTCATTACATGAAAAATACTGAAAAGTACACAGTAATTGTGTATTTATACAATAGCCATGATTTAAATAGTTTAGAAAAAAGTGAATGCACAGGATAAACATTTAAATTCCCAAAAGTGTGAGAGAATTTACATATAATTTTATTGATTTAAAAAAAAAAAAAAAAAAAAGAAAGAAAGAAAGAAAGAAAGAAAAGAAAGAAAAGAGAGAAAAGAGAAGATAAAATGCAGATTTTTGCTGAACAGACCTCGGATCGTACACGCCGGGTGTCCGACATGACTGTGCGGAGCAGGACTGCAGCATCATCAGCCGGTGGTTCATCTTCTCCAGGACTTCCTTGTCAATGGTTTTTGCAATGTTGGTCAGCTGGTACGGGTCTGCAGTCACGTTGTAGACTTCTACGAAAACCTACAGAACATAGACATCTGTGAAATATGCTAATGATTCAAAACTGAAGAAACTCAAGGACATGCCATTCTTGATTTGACCACTAGATGCCAGCAAATCAAAGACTTTCAAAACCTGCACACAGCACTTTTAAACGTGCTATACGAAGCATTTTTCACATGGTAAATCCTCTTTTATCACTAGCGCTGCAACAGATGTTAACTTAAAAGTGAGACATTCCCAACTGTCCCAGTTGCTTGACTGATTTCTATATTAAGGATATGTGCTCACTTTCTTACACAAAAATATAAAAAGGAGCACTTTTGGTTAGTTCAGCTTTATGAACTAACCGTCACCAGATTAATGCAGCACAGCTAAGTTGCACAGCTAATCGTAGCCATCTTGCCTAACATTAGTGCCAACAAAAATAACATTTGAATACAAATGTTAGCTGGCTAGCTTGACAAATTGCTAAAGACTGAAAATCAAAAGCAAATAAATACAATACTATACCTCATTGTCATCAAATTCGCAGTACTGCAGGTTGGAAGAGCGGGCGATGGTGCGCACACAGGCGTAAGTGTTGTTGTAAGAGTCCTCACACACACAGTCTGGGAAACACTCCTATAGAAAAAACGTTTGTTATTGGTGTTTAATTTTTGGTGCCGCTGAAAAACCCCAAAAAACAAAACAACCCACAACAACAACAAAGTTTTACTTCATCCCTGTTTCCATACCGACACTCCGGGACCCAGTAGCGGGCAGGCAGGGTCCGACTTGTTCCTGCCCTCGCCTTCGTACTCCACCAGGATGTCTGTTCTCCAACTGCTGCCGTTCATCTTCCCCTCCTGGTGACACACACAGATATGAACAAGTGTGACTTTAAATTTATTTTGTTACCTAATAATCGTTACTGAGTTTTGTTGATAAGTTGTCATTTACCTCTTATTATATTATTAGTAATGTGTTGATGTGGCAATTGATCAACATTTGATGATGTAAAAATATCTACAAATAAAAGGATTTATTTGTGTACTTGGGTCTGACTAAGCATATTAATATTCAACCGTCTCCTTTACCTTGTATTATAGACAACAAAAGCAGAACACAAGCTTAGTTTTCTCACCATAATTGGCAGAAACGACATGCCGTCCATTTGGGTCTTGTTGACGTTGTACCCGGCGATGTCCAGGATGGTCGGGCCAAGGTCAACGTTCGCTACCAACATCTGGAAAGACAAAAGAAACACTCAACCCAACAAATGTGGCCAGCAAAATGGATGCACCATCTCTAAACACAGATCCTGTGCATCTGTTCAAAGTAGATTTTTTTCCTCTCTTTGCTGCTTTTCCTCTTTTTGGGACCAACAGGAGGGCTCATGCTGCTACACTGAATATAAATCCACTAACAAGATAAAAACAGGATATGCATTTATTTATAACACATAGGTGACTAATATTTACTGCTTTATTACTTTTACTTTATTTAACCAAGAACTAATACCAAAAACATCAATGGCAACAAAGTGTGAAACATCAATTAAAGTCAATGTTTTCTACCAGCAACAAGGATAATAATATTCAGCCAAAACATATGCAGGTAGAAGTAACTGCAAATGTTCTCAAACTTTCTGGATTGTGGGTGGTTCCACTGAGTTTCTGGTGATATGATGTTAATTGTTTCAGTTTTTAGCTCTCAGTTTACACCCCGATGTCCAAAATAAACTAAATATGTGTAAAATGCAAACAAAAACAGAATGCAGTGATCTGTGAGGGAGTTATAGATAACTTAAAGTGAATGGAAACTTAAACACTGGCCTGGATCTTGAAAGAATATAGCATCCGTTTAATTTTTATGATAGTAACGCTTTAAAAAAACCTATACTGGAACCATTTCCTTAAATATGTCAGAGGTTATAAGATTATAATATAGACAGAGAATATGATTTCAACAGTAACTGTATTAATAGAGGATCAGTGAATAATGATAAATACTAAATATTGATTAGAGAGCAAGGGCATCTCATCTTTCGTGTGTGTGTGTGTGTGTGTGTGTACCTGGCTGGTCTGGTTGGGTTTGATATTTGGTCCTCTGACCATGAGAGGAACTCTGATGTCAAACTCATACAGCTGCCTTTTATCCACTGGGAGAGAGAACTGACCTGAAACAGGAACAGAGTCCTTTCATTTTCTTTACTCTGCATCCAAAAAACAAGTCTCACGCACTTCTTATCATCTGAGACATCACTTTTAGGTTGTGACTGAGATTTGGCCACATTTTCAACAGTACTGACAATTTTAAAGCAGTTTTGTTTCTCATGTTTTAAACCTTTGGAGGTATAAAAGGGTGGGAAACAATTAGCAGTGAGAGCTAACCAAACCCTACCACACTAAAAACCTTGTGAATGTTAAACTATCCTCTGAAAAACTGTAGATGTTGAAATAAAAAACAAAAAGCGCTCGCACAGACATACCTGTGTGATATCCATTATCAGAAGTAAAGAAGATGTAGGTATTGTTCAGTTCACCTCTGACCTCCAACCTCTTCACTATTTTCTCCACCAGGTCGTCCACTGACAGTAACGTTTGCCACCTGTAGGACGAGATAAACCGGGAATGAGTGGTCTGTAAGGGTCTACCTTACAGTATAAAGTGCCTAAGTCGACTGTCGTTGTGATTTGGTGCTGTAGAAATAAAATTGAATTGAACTGAAGCCTCGTAGCTGGATTCTGGATGATTTGCTGACCCTTTGTAGGACTGTTTTCTTGTCATTGGTCGGCTATAGCACAAACTAAGAGGTGTTCTCTGGGCCACTACACCAGGCTCATCGAGGCTGTAAAGCACAATGTGATGGTGGAGTCCAAGCAAAGGATGACAGACTCAGGGATGAAGCAGCTGATTATATTTCATGTCAGAAAAAACTTGGCCAATAAAATATTTACAGTGGAGAAACGTATAAATGGTATTTTTAAATTAATATTGACTCATTTAAGAAAGCTGGTGGCCAGAAAGGAGCTGCACACACACTGCTGCAAAAACAAGCTAAATCTGTGGGAAACTATGTTAAGACCTGAAGGTGAAAAGAAAGGAGGAGAATTAGGAGGATGTGAAAGGTGACAGAAAGCAGTGGTCTGGTAAGGAGCTGAGGAGGATGTTTCAAAAAGGAAATAAGGAAGTGGAGCAAAGAAAGAGGAAGGTGAGGAGGTGAAGCGACTGACCGTCCCCTGAAGGCATCATCCAGAAACCGAATGGAGGAGTTTGACATGGGAGTTTTAGCCTGTCTGATCAACCAGTGTTTGTCCTGAGGGGAGAAATGAAAGTGATCATGATTAGCAAGGTCCTCTTTAGCGTAGAGACTGATGTAACCCAACAGAACTTATTAACAGAGCGCTTTCTTCCATCTTACTTTGGAACCAGCGAAATTCAGCAAGAACTTTAAAAAAAAAAAAAAATTCTACCTTCCCGTGGACGTTGAAGTTGGGATCTCGGGGAGCTTTGGTGTTGTTGAAGCGTTTCTGGTACTGAGGTGCTGCTGTCCAGGGGGAGTGGGGGGCCGGCGTGGACACCATCATGAAGAACGGCTGGTAGCTGGTTTTATACTGGAGGAAGTCTAGAGACATGTTGGCCTGAGAACGAGGAAGAGAGTGATCAGAGCCTTTGATCGCTGATCATTTCTGCATGTGACCCTTACATCATTGTACATGGCTGTCTCTCTGTCAGACTGTTGGTCTTACCAACAATATAAAAGAAGTTACCTCTTTTTCTCTGACATTATATTAAGTCAAACATAACAAAAAAAAAAGCGGAGTAGAGCCCTCTCTCTTAAAATCTAGGGGGGGGGTTTCACCCAAAAACCTTTACGGTAATTTATCAAGCAGACATGAATTCTGTCTTTTCTATTTTGTCCCTAAAAATGGAAGTGTGAACCAAAAACTGTCTTTAAAGTAACAAGATAAGGATGCTTTACATTTGTGGCTATATAAATGAAGTAAAGGACGGTGTGCAGTCATATCAAAGGTCTCTCACCAGTAGATCTGTCAGGTAATCTTTGCTGTAGTCGGCTCCGTGCTTCTGAGCCTTCCCATTCACTGATAGTGTGTAGTTGTAGTATTTAGAGTTTTTATCCTGGAAAACACAAACGACACGACTCTGTAAAACACTTCAGGTTTAAAGAGCCACTCGGATCATGTGTAAAGAACTGCAAATTATTACGTAAGCACATGTACCATCCTCTTCATTTCAGATTTCCCAGCCTTAAATCACACAGAATAAAACACCTAGTGGAAGAAATCATTTCCAGGAGTGTATTATATGTATGTATCTATATAATCTTGGTCTAAGAAGCTGAAGTGAATTTTAAGAAGTCAATATAAAAAGCCTGATATTTATTTTTGAACCATGCACGGGGTTAGGGTTAAGAAACCTGGAAACCTTCAGGGTTCAGAAAAAAAGTCCTCTTTCGCACTGACTAAAATTTAATTATTTTTCTTAAAAACAGCACTTACAACTGTTGCTCACAGCTGATCACATGAAGTCACCAATGATCAGAGATGAGCTGCAGTTCATGGAAACATATTGTTAAAAGTTCCCTCAAAGCATAGTGATAGTGACTCTGGTGCAGCGCCAGAAGGATTATTGGCTTAAACTGCCAAAATCATATAAATCGCATGAGTCTCGCTCTTTGTTATGATAAACTTCCAAGTCATGGGACCACGGCTCTAATCTGTGTTTGTTCATCCAGTGACAGTGAAGATAAACCAGTCTGCACGGCAGTCTGGACGTGACCTCTGACTTCTGCAAACCAGTTAGAGACCTTCTGTAAATCCACACAAATCTAACTTTAGCCTTTTTATTAGTCTGTCTCCTTATTTAGCCACATGACTGCCTACATTTCACAGTGGTGTGTGAGGTAGCTTCATATCAGATCTGATTTAATCAGAAATACACATTTTTGCAACATTAAATATGAACTGGGAACTCATGGAAATAATAAAACAAAGAAAAATATGGATAAAAAACAAACAACTTTTGTGTGTCAAGATGGTGATAAAAGTGAGACAGACATTCTGCAACCTCGCTTTAATAAAGAATAACCTAAATACAACCAGCTGAGTCAAGATCTCTATTGCAAAGTCATGGAGATTTAAAAATTACACATAATGCTCAATTTTCTGATACTGAACTTGTCCTATTTCCCATCAGTAGCAGGGAAAGAACTACATTGGTTGTACTGCGCAGACCATCTGAAGCTGAAGAAGATCATTAACCGCAGAATACAAACTGCACTTTATTTCCTCACTTGAAAGGAAAGAGTAGCAGAGAGTTAATTCGATACGCTCCCATGGTACTACATCTAAAACTCTTATATGTCCTTCTCCCCGGCATTAACAGTTAAGGTTTGCACCTTAGGAATTAAGGGATAAGATGCTTTGTAAATGACTTCTCTTCTGACAGATGTAATCCTAACTTTTCAGGGAAATTCGCAGTAAACATGATGGTTTTAGGATTTAAACAAGCCTTCATTTCCAGGAGCTGAATTTTCCTTTGGAGCAGCATTTAACTCAGATGTTGAACTAAATAAACTCAGTTTGATTGATAGCATCAACAGGCAGACGCCCAAAATGACCACATCATGTGACGATCAATACATCAATCACTGTTCACAGAGACAGACGAGCAGCTTTATCGCAGATGCAGAATTTGCTAATAGAAAACGTAAGACTCCAATCAGCAAAGGCAGCCGAGTCTCTAAACAAGTTCTCAGAAGAAGCAGCGAAGCCACAGACACTTTGGATTGTCTAAGAAAAATGCTGAAGAATAAAAGCAGTAATAGAAGAGCAGACGAACACAAGGCAAAATGATGCTGCAGTGAAACATGACAGCTCAAATTCACGGCTGTTTCTTTACTCTGGAGTTTAACCCTTGGGTTTATAAGACCTCTAAAGACAAAGAGGGCCAAATGTTCCTCAGACCACAGGAATTTGAGTTTCTCAGAAACTAGTGGAGTCAGTCCAACTTGAAATGGTATAGTTTTGAGATTATAGTTGCATGACTGTCTCCGACAATAAGGTAAGCTCTAAAACTGGTCCATGATCTATAAAAGCAAATAATGTGAACATTCAGACTTACCAGCCCGACCCAGTAACTCCAACCTGGAGGAATGTGCTCCACTCCACCAGCTTCCGAGTGCCCATACTGCAAAATAGCATAAATGTTGAGTATGTGCAGTTCTGCATGACGAGATGAAGAGAATTACCCTGCAAAAAAAATAGATGAGCACGACATATAAACGCATATGTTCTTCATGGTTTCCATTTCAGACCTCACCGCCACGTTTCAAAAAGATTTCCACCTTTCAGACAGGATCGATTTGCTCAGCAAAACAGTATTTAAACAAAATTTAAGTGTAAAAGTTGAATTTTTTGTTGAAATACATTTTGTTGAAAATCATTTATTTATTTGAAACATAAATGACATCACAGCTGATTTCCATGTAGAGACATTTGCAAGATTTTTAGTTATCTTCCAAATTCCCTGCGAGCCACACTGTGTGACATTGATCTACCTGATGTATGCGACTGTACAATGACGTGAATCATGCCGTGTTTATTCTGCAGGACTCGACCTGCTCAATCCAGTTTGAAAATGTTCTTTCATTTTCTGGTACATAAATGCTCAAAGACAGAGTGAAAAGGAGAAGTAGCAAAACAGGCCCAAGTGGCTTTTTTGGTGACACTTTAAACGTCCTAACAAACAGGACGTTCTGGTTCTCTATTTGACCATCTGTTAATCACAAGGGGAGATGTAACCTTCACCCTCAGATGATAGATCGTATGACTGCACATCTACTGACAGTCTCCTGAACAATGCAGTAAAGATGCCTCACTTTTATGCATCTCTGACACATGCATACGATTTAAAACTTCAATATATTTTATTTGAAATTACAATATAATGATATTTATGTACAAAGTTTACCTACTCAGAGAGAGGTATACTAGAAAAAGAGGCAACAAATCTGGTTCATACAGGAAAAATTAAATAAAATATAATGCAAGTAATTTTAGATATTGGATAACCCAAGTTATTTTATAGAAAAGAAAAACACATAATTATATTTTAAGTAAACTTAAGTAGTGCATAACTAATTTTACAGGACAAGAGATAAATGACACTGTACGTTTCCACATTTTAAGTACTGTAAACAACTGTAATTAGCTAATTTTCTGGAAATGTAGTGGTTAAAAACAAACAAAAAAAGAATATTCTGTGTTTTTCAATTCCATTTAATTACAGGGGAATTACACCAACAAATTATTTTTTAGCTCCTTCATTCTTCAGATAACAGCGCAGTACAAGAACAAAGGGGGACAACCTCTTACTAAAGGCAAGTCACCGATTCTGGCAAAAAAAGAGACACTCACCTGGTTGAGATATTTCCCAGCAAAGAATGTCTGGTAGCCAGCGGAGGCCTTCAGTAAGGCGGGGAAGGTGTGCGGCTCCTCGCTCTTCTGCCAGGCTTTGCTGCTACAGTTTCCATCCAAGGTGTTGTTGATGACGTGGTGGTTGTGGGGGTATTTCCCCGTCAAGATGCTGGCACGACTGGGGCAGCAGAGCGGGCTGGCAACAAACTGAGGGAAAAAGACGCGAGACGAAACTGAAAGGATTTTCTTTAATTATATTTGACTTGTGATTCTCTACATGCAGCTTTTATGTAAAGTCATTTTAGATAATGCTACAAAATAATGTACAGACGCAAAGCAGGGCTAAAACGATACACTTAATAGTCCCTGAAAGCTGTATATAAAAGATGTACAAAATGTTGGGTCTGAAAAGTAAAGCTAGCGCAAAATGTCTTAAAATGTCGTTCTTTCTAATGGCCAGCAGGGGGCGGCAACTCTGATTGCAAAAAGAAGTTATATAGAAGTGGGCGAGAATTTTTTTTCCCTACTTGATTAATTTATTACCTTAAACACTTTCTCAATAAATTTATGGTCCCAGTTGGTCAAGTCAAGTCTCACTTTATATTCATATGGTTATTTGAAATTTTATGGTCCTATTTAGTGTCCAAAAGAACCATAAAACAGGGTTTACTTTAGGGTTAAGCTACCTTGTGATTAGGAGCTTGCTGCATTAGCATGTAGCATATCTGCTTTTTTTGTTTTTTAAAACCTGGTCCTTCCTGCATTTGTGCCGTGAAGCTACGATCTCAGGTTTCAAAAGATTTCACAAATCAAATGGGTGATATTACAGTAGCTAAGTCCATCTTTGATATACAGTCTATGCTGATGACAAGAGGAACATGTAGGCAGTAGGGCTGGGCGATATATCGAGTTTTTTTAAAAAAATATAGATATATTTTCATACGAGATATAAGATGTGACAATATCGTTTATATCGATATAGTCTATGTTACGTTATAATTATACTTGTGGAGCCGCAGGTTTGCCTCTCTCTCGTCCACTTTTGTCTCTACGCAACGTTACTCGGCCTCGCCTCTCCTTCACTGAACACAACTCCGCCTCCCCCATAGCTTCACCTGCAGGCAATGACAAGATGAAAGCGGAAAATCTCCGTTAGCGAGTTACCGTGCGTGGGGCTGGACGGCGTCAACGTGCTAACGAGCTAACCGCGCTAACGACATGCAGCCCGGAGGGGCTGCACGGCCTAAAATCCTTTCATTTTCTCATAAATCGACAGTGCGCCTTATGTATGAATTCTGGTTGTGCTTACTGACCGCGAACCGATTTTATGTGGTACACAGCGCTCAGCAATCTGTCAAAAAATGTTTTAATATGACTTTGCTAAGCTACGGAGCTGCACCGCTTGATAGATTGTCGGAGGATTACGGCTACCGAGGAGGAGCCTCGCGGAGTGATACGTACTGTGTGTGTATAAGGACCACAAATGGCACCTGTTCAGAGACGTGGTGCAGCTGTGAAATCTGTCTTTGTTATTATGCTCAGCGTCTATTAGTTTACATTTTGACTGCACAATTGTGAGCTTTTTGTTATGCACAAAAACAACATTGTTTTCTTTTATTTATGGACCATGATTATTTAATAAATGCTGATAATTTATTTTTGAGTAATTTCTTCATGTACATCTACGCTGTATGTAAATAAAAGTGCCCGTGTGACATCTGGGACACAGTGTGACTAAGAACTCTCTTTTTGTTCTTAACTTATGGCTTTAAAAAAATAAAAATAAAAATAAAAATCGAGATATATATCTTATATCGCCATCCAGCTAAAAAATATCGAGATATGAATTTTGGGTCATATCGCCCAGCCCTAGTAGGCAGGCTATACTTACTGCGTTTGTGAAGGTCATCCCTGCGTCACCAATGAGTTTTTTCGTCTTGTTCAGTGGATTCTGAAAGGAAAACACATTTTATATTTATTTATTTATTTATTTATATGCGCTGACATTAATTAAATTACCTGCACTTAAACTCTTTGTTTGCTTTTTGGCCATCAGCAATAACAGGATGTAGTTTTTGTCCTATTGAGAAGGCCGCTGTCATAGAAACGGCTTTTTTTTTTTTTTTAGACCAGCAAATATTTGATCTATTTGAAACAGTGCTTTCAGAGGGTGAAATGCTATAATAAATAACACAAAGTTTAGTTCAGCATTGGAACAGCAACACTGGAAAAGTAAGTAAACGTACATTCATCACATCTTCCCATTTATGAAATTATAATCAAGGATTTCAGATTAAATGCCGATGACTGGATCTCTCTTAGGGTTTAAAAAACACTTGTTATCAAAGGATTAAAAAAATTTTTCGAAACAATTTGAAGAAATGCTTGAGCTCTAACACTAAATCCTCAAAAAGTGCTGTCAGAAAACTGACAAAGTCTCCAAGAAGCCCAAAGCAGACTTGTGCATGTACATTGGGGATTGGCTCAGAAGGAGAAATTGAGGTTTATGACATGATTAATTAACTGAAATGCTTTAGGACTATATAAAACAGGAAGTACTTCAATTAAAACCACCAAAATCTGTCAAAAGTGTCAGCAAACTGATGTCTGAGACTGGTGGACAATCAAGAAAAACACCCATATGATCTGTGCTAAACTGGGCAATCAGCATTACCTCATGATCCCAATGACAGAGTCTTTTCAACTGCAAAGTATTTTATCCATTGTTGTACTATTCACCTTTATCTGTAGATCCTGTTTGAAAGCAGACCACATGTTTGCTTGTGCAAAGATGTCAATAACACCAAAGGTTTCCATGTGGTGCCCTCACTTTTTCACATGACTGTGGTCTCAGACAGAGCAGAGATTACACACCTCTGGAAAAACACTGAGCATTTTGTGCACTATTCAGCACAAAATAAATGGATTAACATACTGTGGCTCTGTAATATAACTGCTGCTACAACTGAAGGTGAATTCGTGTAATACTAGGTTCAGATACTCAGAACTGAAAAATTTGTACCAAAACAGCACAAAATAATCTAAAGTTGGACTCTTTACTCAAACTAAAGACAAAAATAAGGCTCAGCATGTGTTATGATTTTTTATTTTATACATAAATTTAGCATCATGTTTAAATTAAGCTGTTCTTTAGGTAATGGCAATATCTATCAGTAGCTTTATATTAGATGTGGCTTGAAAGTCACCAGTGTGATGTAAATTTGATCAAAGTCAAGCATCAACATGTAGTCAGGAGTTTTTGGACACACACAGGTTAAGAGTAGAAATAAAGGCACATGATCTGCAACAACTCCTGACCTTCATTGATGATGTAACAACATTTAACCTGCGAAACACAGCAGTTTAATGTTTTTGGATGGCATATCTACAAGCTATCAGTCTGAGTACATGTGGGTTTGAATCAGCAGATGAAACGAGAAATAAATAAATAAACCTACAAGTTTTCTTTTGTATGTATCAGCAGTTTTTGTTTTGATTATTGTCTCACATCAGTTACTTTCCGCAGTGACTTTACAGAGTTATGTTTTACTCTTTTAAACAGCAGTGTCCATTAAACAGCATAAAGACCAGGAGTGGGTCAAAAAAATATGAACATTGTAGTGAAATCATTAATCACACTAATTTCTGAATAAAAAGATTTTCCGTTCTTGGTGTGATAGTGATGCCAGATTTACCATGGAGGGGTAAAAATGATCGGAAAGTGTCTTTAAATCAGTTGGTTTAATTTAAAGATGGGAAAATAATGTTGTTGCCGAGGTTTTGTGCCTTTCCCATCTGTAAACTGTAATGCACGTCACATGATCACAGGTCTATTTTGCCTTTTTTTAAAGACATCTTGGGCTATTCATTACCTGTTTGTAAACAAATCTCTCATGAAATGAAAGTAAATGTAACCTAAAATAATGGCTTATGTTCTACACATTTTTAAGAGGGGTGTGAACCTGGCATGATCTTAAAATTTGGCAGTTATTTCTTTCGCACTCTTACCTGCAGAGGTGAATCTAAAGAAGGGCACCGCATTTACCGCACCTGGTCTCCATGACATTTATTTTAAAACTTTAAGTTGCTAACTAATCTAGCTCTATACTGCTAATTTAATTATTTTAGCATCGTTTTTGGGCCAGTAAAAGCCTGATTTAATGGGCCTGGAAGCCCAGTGGGGAGAAATGAAAGCTGGTCAGTTAAAATCATTTTATACCTTCTGTAAGCATAACACTTCTTTCTTTTTAAATATGTGTATAAATGTGCATGTAATAGTTTAACGGGCCTAGCCCACTTGAGATCAGATCGTGCTGTTTGACAGACCAGATTTAAAGTGTTTACTTTGGGATTATTGTAATTATTATGCATTACCATTACTGTCAGACTGGCTATTATAGCACAAACAACTCATTTACGTAGACCCAGTCTTTATAAACATAACATCCTCTGGCTGGCTAAAAACATTTCTTCTAGATTTGTTTTTTAAATTATAATAAAAACATTGGTGGTGATGGATTGACAAGCCTGCTGACTCTGTCGGATGCTTGCATGATGTTTGCTGTCAGGAATGTTAGCTGTCAGCTTTATCCGATCTGGTTTAATGTCATTAAAAAAAAAGACAATGTCATGACTCTCAGATAAGCTCCTACTGACCAGACCCCCGATAGCGACGTCCAGGTCGTCGGTGAGGATCAGAACGATGTTAGGTCTCCGGGAAGAGCTGGCCCCGCTGCTCCCGCTTAGGTGGCTCCACAAAGTGACGCAGATCAGGAGAAAGCTGAACATCTTCGGCCCGGAGCAGCGAAAAGAGCCCATTTTCTTCATCCAGCTACAAACTTCTGAAGGAGAGTGTCTCTACCATCCACGTTGCGCCTTATAACAGCGTGAAATGGAGAGGCCGCTCCTCCGTGACGGCAAAAACACAGGCACGAGCTCAACCCTGACTCAACGCTTCCCTGTTTGCTGGCCACGTGGTGTACGGAAGCCCGCATCATTTGATTTGTAGGCGTGTACCAGTGACTGTCAGTGGCGTATACCCGCCCCTCATGACTACAGCTTTTATTTTATGCTTTAATTTTCTTTCTTTCTTTCTTTCTTTCGTCTATCTGTAAAAAAAAATAAAATTCAAGAGCAATCCTTCAATTAACTTCGCTTTTTAAACAGATTTGCTTCTTAGCAATCAAAATATAGCCAAAGATTTTATCGTACCAGACTGCGATAAACATTTAGTTTCTACTCTAATGCCAAGCTGACGTCAATTCAGAGATTTCTTTGTGATCACCTCTTATGTAATCAAATCACCTTTTCAAAAATGCACATGTTTATTACATTTCTATGAATCTATGAAACGTAAAAATTCAGAACAGTTTCATATGAGTTTTTAAAAATCCGCATTTGGGGCTGGGTTGTATACATTTCACTGCTGGGACATATTTTTGATTGCATTATTATGTTTCTTGTATCAGTTAGCATGAAAATCAACCAGGCTCAAGAGAAATGTACATTTTTAAACAAACACAAGATGTGCTTTTTCATGCTTATTTCATCCTTTACCGTGACACTGGGCTGTTAGAATATGAATATAAGTTACAGATCATTGAAATTTGCCAAGGTAAAAAAAACAAAACAAAAACAAAACTCCTGTAAGCTAGACTCACATTGCAAGGATTTTGAAAAATCTAAAGACCTGAAGTTATTTTTATATGAAAGGAAAGCTGTGAAAGATTCACTGCTAAAAGATGGGCCTTGTATTAAAATTTGGGTAAAAAGTATATGTTTCATATCTACTTCATTTTAGCCTTTATTTGTTTATTTAAAATAAATGTATCAATACATATTGAAAAGTTGTTTTTTTTTTTATCTTTATTTATACACATATTGAACGTTTAGAGGAGTCACATTACGAATTTCCGTGCAAACGTTAATGAATTGGTCCTCAAAGGTGAAAACGGATTGGTCGAGATACTTTTGGGCTCATCTCTGATTGGCCAATGGAGCAGCTCCCGGCACCTGTCGCACCTGTCGCGCGACCTGAAGAAAGTTTGGCAGCAGTTGGAGAAGTTCAGCGTAGTGGGCTGGTCCATTGTGTAGTCCTGGAGGGGGGGGAGCAGTGAATTCCAGTTCTGAATATTCAGGAAGGAAAGTAAAAGCCGCCAGACGAGTCTCCACCTTTCTGAGGTGAGAAATGGAGCGCTCCAGGAACTCTATCCTCTTCGAAACGCTCTAACTTTGTAACTTAAAGCAAGTCAGGAAAATGACAGTTTACTGTTAAAACAGTTGCAGCAGGATAAGAGAGCTCATTCGTTTTGTTTTCTCTTAATAAAAACAATGGCGTCGAGGGTGAAAGTAAACGGTAATGAACTTTTAGAAGTTGACATATGTGACGGTGGCTTGCGCTCCGAGGAAGAGAGCGAGGTTTATGCCCACTCTGCTGCCTCCCTGCAGGACGATTTCTCTGGCTTTCAGCAGTGGACGAGCCCCACCGAGTCATCGAATGACACATCATCATGTCCGGGAGAGCAGGAGGTGCCCAGAGAGCGTGGACAGCCGCCTGGCACCTTTACTGCCACCCAAAGGACCAACGCGGCCGGTGACAGCGACTCTGAATCTGTGGGAGATGCAGTCAGAACTCCGAGGGCTTCCATAGTGGACTGTCTCCTGGTGGAGCTTTATGATACATACAGCGGAGGCAGCAGGAGGAATGCGGACAGCTGGGACAGCTCCACGGAGGCGTCCGGGTCCGATGCCTTCCTGGGCCGCAGTAACTCCGGGTCCAGCTTCCTGCAGGAGTTGCAGGAGAAGCACACCAGGAGGCACCAGATGAACTACCTGGCTCAGAAAGGTACAGACTGATCATTCAAACTCAACCACCGATTATCTCTTTTTCCTCCTCTATAAATGATGCTTACCACCTGTTTGTTTTATGGCTGATATTATGTGTTTTTGGTCCGTTTTATTCCTGCATTATTGCACTAACAAGTAAGGAAACAAAGACATGTTCTTTAGCCCATTTATATAAAAAAGAAATCTTGCATATTTTGAAGACTTTCACCACTTCATCGCACAATTTACTGTCAAATCGTATTCACAACAACAGGTGTCTAAATGTGCTTTATCTGGAAAGGCCCTGCAATATTAGAGAGAACCCCAAACAACAGATGAGCCCTTATGAGCAAGCACTTGGCAACAGTGGGGAGGAAAAACTCCTTTGCCTCCAGTTTGACCTGGCTAATGCTCAGTCTCACACACTGAAACGAATGCTAGTTTGAAATGACCATAGAGGTTGAATGAGGTAATAGAGAAAAGAAAACCATACCATGGAAATGCAAGGATCTTAAAATGGTATTGTATTCCTTATAGGTCAAATGGACAAAGAAATTTGGATATTTTATGAAGGGTCATTCCATAAAAATCTTTCCCAAATATGGAAAAATTCAGAATTAGCATTCTTTTATTATTATTTTATACAGTAACTGTTGTCTTTTTAATTAAGTAGGGGGAGGTTTTACCTCCTTACTATGAATATTTTCACTTTTTCCTGGCTCAAATTGAACTTTTGTGAGGTGAGTATGCATGCAGGTGCAACTAGTCCACATGTTGTTTAGACAGAGTGTGCATTTTACCTGACTGAACAGAAGTTGTGCATTTTTCTGTTATTTCATTTGGGCATTTGATCAGAATAGGGTATTTTAAACATGAGTACACTGAATCCCAAACACAATTGTGGTGGTTTTTGCATTGAAAGAAGATCTAAAATGCTTCAGTGGGTGCCAGAATTTATTTGCAGAGATCACAAACCCTGTTGATTGGAGGCTTTTTATCTGTCTTTTAATTCACACCTATAAATGATCTAGTTACTGTTTTCTTGCTCTCTAATTGAGACATTTAACAGAGCTTTTCTTTAAGCTTTGAGGTTATCTTTGTTTATTTTTGTAAAAGCTTCATCCCAAATCTTCTATAATTCATTCCAGAAGTCTCTGTAATGAGGAAGGCGTGTGTGTGTGTTTTCCAATTCACAGATACATCTTGATATATAGCTGATTTGTCTGTAAGTGTAATCAGATACTGGAGTGAGCCGAGCAGGCTGAGTGTAATGTGGGTAAAGCTCAGTGTTCAGACTGTTACAATGACAGAGACAGAGTGCACTGACAGCTCATTTACTCGCGTCCTTCATTGTTGCCCCAGATTCCCACTTGGCATGTTACTGTGAGGTCCATGCTGCCATTGTTTCCTCTCGTTTAAAGGAATCCTTCAGTCAACACGGGCAGACCTGTGACTTCAGTGTTTGCACTCTCCACTGCTGAGGGTTGGTATGAGTTAGACAATGCTCAGGGCTGCCACTCAGGAAGAGGAAATACTCTTAAATAATACCTGAAATACCAGCCAAAATATGCATACTCGCTTTGCTCCTGTGTTTGGTCAGGAATGGTCCGTGGAAAAGTTTAAAACCCTTTTTGGTAAATGTTACACTTTATTGATCGCTCCAGGGCAGCACAGTTTATTAGCTACGCTTACGCACTCTCGTTTGTATAAGGGATCGACATATCCAACTTTTCCCTGCTTTGATAACTTACAGATATCTTGGCTTCATGTGCCATTATGCTGGGAAAATATTAGCGTTATTACACTTAAAAAGGCAGAAACTTGTGCTTTTAATTAAGTACATTTCCTTTAACCTAAATTGTGGTTCAGCTAAAAAAACAAAATAAAACTGTAAATGCAAACTTAACTGAACTTCTTACACGCTAATGCGAAAGGTATAATGAATATGGGTAAAATTAAACAAAAAATGAAAAAAGGATTTTTTTTTTTTTAATATATTTTTTTGTTTTTGAAATGTAAAATTTAAATAACTACACAGCCCTGAATTCATGTATATGGTGATGGAGACCACTGATCTGATACAAGTGTTAATTTCACAAGCATATAAATGGTTGGGAATCTTTTTTTTTTACAAATAAGGCTTGATGTAAACATTGCTCTCCTAACTTTGAAAGAAAAAAGGCAGGGTGGGGTACAGCGTCTGCATCACTGCAGCCGCTGCACCAATCTGTCTGTCGATCTCCCGCTCCCTTCTCCCATCACTCATGAACAAGACCCCGAGATACTTAAACTCCTCCACTTGGGGCAGTGTCTCGTCCCTTACCCGGAATGGGCAAATTTGAACCATCATTCAAATTTTTTTTATTTTTCAAAGATGACCTGAGTATACACAGGTTTTCAAAGGTTAATTCAATTATAAGGGGAAAACGTTATCCACACCTACCTGAACTTGTGTGAAAATTGGCAGCAAGAACTGCAATCAAGCATTTGTGATAACTGGTGATGAGTCTTTCACGTTGCTGTGGAGGAATTTTGGTCCACTCTTCTTTGCAGAATTGTTTTAATTCAGTTACACTGGAGGGTTTTCCAGCAAGAACAGCCTGTTTAAGGTCATGCCAAAGCATCTCAATTTAACCAAAGTCCTGGCTTTGACTAGGTTACTGCAAGACCTTAATTTTGCTTTTTGGACACGCTGGTTTGTTTCAGATCATTTCATTCTGTGTACCTACTCAAGCTGGCACAGTACAGTACTATGAATTCCCCTTAAAAAGAAAAGCTTCATCTTCACCAGTGTTGTTGAACAGTTAGTTGGACATTTGAATACATGAAGGCCGTCAGTGTGTGTTTTACCACTCGCCATTCAAATCTGCAACACAGCAAAGCCGACTCTGGTTATCAGCGTGGTGATGTGGGGGCTATTTCAATGAAATCAGAGCATAGTTTCAGGATCCGGTATCAGGATGAATGAAATGAGACTAAATGGTAAATGGCCTGCATTTGTATAGCGCTTTTCTAGTCCATAGGACCCCAAAGCGCTTTACACTACATTCAGTCATTCTATGCAGACTACTGCAGAAAAGCCACAAGTGTCATCAACGGTTGTGCCACCAAACTGCTGACTCTTTGCTGTTAGCAACCAGCGCACTACTGGTACAGCAAACACAGAACAGCATATAATTGAATCAAGTAGATGGACAGATTTTACTGATACCAGATCCACCATTTTGAGTCGGGATCTGACCAATAACTAAATATCAGATTTGTGCGTCCCTAATTGGCAACCAGTGACTGGCTGCATTAGACTCTTACAGTTGTGAAAATTGATACAATGTCTGTGGATATATTATTTTTATTAGCTTTAATCCAAATGTATTTGCAAAAATAATACACACACCAAAAAGCTAAATGCATAACATCCAAAGTTTATGTGATTTGTCTGTGTGGTAGTTAGCAGGATTAATAATTTTAAAAAAAAGTTATTGATTTATTTGAATGGCTTGTCCGTCCATCCTTTGATCCTTAATAGATGTATATCACAATGAAGTAAGAACTACTTTTAACTGCTCTTGTATCTGTTTTATTTTACACATGAGAAAAACAACCAAAAGTGTCCCCTGTTTTTCCTTAGATCTATTGCTGTGATCAGATTTTAAACGCCATGTTTCCATTAATGGGTGGAGGGTTTGTGTTTATGTGGCACTGCTGATCTGGTTTTCATTTCCTCCTTTGCCTGCAGCTTGGAAAAACAGGCTAACGAGTGTGAGATTATGATTTATCAGAGGACTGCAGATATCACGGGTGTGTCAAAACTGTGCCACGGCTTTATTTTGAGTACATATTATTGTGGAAAATATGTGTTTGAAAAAGATGTAGGTTAAAGAAAGACACATGTTCCTAAAATGTGATCATCTGAAAAAGTTAGAGATCAATAGATGACGTAATTTTGGGCTGTTACTGGCATTTAAAATAATGATGATAATAATAATAATAATAATAATAAATGCTGTAAGGGCAGCACAGGTCGAGCAGTGGTTAGCAATATTGCCTCACAATAAAAATGTGCTGAGTTCAATTCTACCATCAAGCCAGGGTTTTTGTGTGTGGAGTTTGTACCACCAATTTTCTGTGTTTGTTTTCAGCCCCAGAGGAGCTGCATTCAATCATCCAGGAGGTGAAATATCGTACAGGCCTTCAGTCGGCCAAGTTGATTCGCCAGCTGAAGAGACGGGACCGACTTTGCCACAAACTGCAGAAGAACTACGACATTATCACAGCGTTTCTTCAGGCCGTGTCACAAAAACGACGTAAGACTATACACTCATTGTTTTTATGTAATAGCAAACCAGGCAGGGTGACACAGGAGGTGTAACTGTGTGAAACAACAGGTGGAGGTCCTCTTAGCTGACTGCACTGAGCTGGGAAGGCTACAAAATCTGCACCATCCTTCAAAAAATTATATGAATATGAGTGGCTGAAAATGAACACAAATTATGTGTATCATTATTCACATTCTTTCTCTCGAATAAATTGTGAAACGTCTCATGAGTTTATTTCATCTGAATTCAGGAGTGTGTATTAACACAGTGTACTTCTTAAAAAATCTACATGTTAACACTAATTCCATTATGGTGTGTTATTTAGTTATTGGTCATTATGGTCCATTTCAGCTCCAGATGTTTGTTTGGACTCATCTAGGGTAGCTTTGTGTGATTCATGGTTTAAAATCATCTGTATTTATCTCATGCTGAATCTTGGTGTCTTTTGAAGGAGGCTATTTTAGTTGCTCTATTGTTAAGGTGTTCTTTGTTCTTATTGGCTGCCCATCGTAAGCACTAGGTTTGAACAGCAGGTAGGTAGAAGGTGAGATGACCACATTAAGGATGGCTTTTTCAATTCCATGCAAGCTGAGAATAGGAAAAAAAGGAAACAAAATAATTATGGATGGGTGCTGAAAGGACCTAAAATATTTTTGTGACACCTAGTCCGATATCATAAATCATGAAAGAGAAATGAAGTAGAATTTGGGTTGTTTGTTTTTGTGTGTGTGCGCGTGTGTGTGTGTGTGTGTGTGTGTGTGTGTGTGCGCGTGTGTGTGTGTTTTTGTTTTTTGTTTTTTTTTTAAATTTATTTTAACAAAAATGCATTTATACAGGTCTTGTAAGGGTGCTCAGGTGTCTCTCCTGCACACCATTTTTTGTCTCCCTTGTCCTACTCGTCCATATTATATGTTATATTATGTGTTTTGTTCAGAAAGTATCCTGCATTTTGATTGGCTTTAGTGTAACGCTGTACATTAATTGAATTTCACATTTAGACTTTCAGAGCAACCCTTTGTTTGAAAATCAATTCCCTGTTTGTTTGTTTGTTTGTTTGTTTGTTTGTTTGTTTGTTTGTTTGTTTGTTTGTTTGTTTTTTAAATTTCATTTCACTGAAAAAATAAAGAGGTCAAAGATTCACTTTTAAGAGGAAACTTTAGGTTTCCATGTTTTTGCCACCAATTTATGAATCATGAGAAGCCTGTCGCTCAAAAAAAGGAAAAAAAAGAAAGAAATGGCAGCTAATGGAGGCGTTCCTACAGAAACCTGAATAATTACCAGACAACACAGCAAATGAAACATGGTTACTAATTTCACTTTTTTCTGTCCTTTTCTGCAAATCAGATGCAGACACACATGAGAGCCATTTTGTTTTTTTTAAATGGTCACATGTCAGCCTTGTTTCTGTGGCCTTTTTGGGATTTAGATGGTTGAGGTTTCTCATCCTGTGGGACCTTTTCTTTGTAGTCAAACTCCCTGAAGTATCAAAATTACACTCTTATATTTTCAAGAAGCAGGTTGTGAATTAAGCAAATGGTAGATGCATGAACATGAATATCCTGACTATACTGATTATCTTTTACATCTTGGAAACAGTAAGTTTGACAGCAGAAATGACAGAGTGAAATAATTCACCCTGAAATTCTCAGAGTGAAAGTACAGAAAGGATTGTGTCTGCACGTCTCAGGGGTTCATTGGTCTTTGGAGGCGCAAATAAACTAGAGCAACAACTTAAAACTGAGAGGTACAAATCGTGGATGACATGATCCAAACCAGATTTGTCAAACAACAGGAGAAATGGAGTTTAAACCAAAACATGCCAATTTATGATCCAAAAAGAAGCCGAAACAACAAAAAAAGTAATGATAATAATCTTTAAAATGTATGAAAGTGGAGATGTCCAGTTAATTTAATTTAATTAGTGTAGGTGAGACCAAAACTGTTTTACCTTCCTATACCAGGCAATACGCAGTTTTTAAATGCTGTAACAGCCTCATGTACGGAAGCCCGTTTCTGCAACTTTAAAAAAAAAAGTATCCATAACTCAAAATTTCGAGTTAGCTCTGTCAATCAGTAATCTGGAATGCGCACTCAAAACCGAATCACAACAAATTGACGCTTTCGAAAGTGCGTTTGTTGATAGTAATGCCATGTGATTCTGCTAATAAAACAATGATTTCATCATGTGTAAAGCCACGCTGAAAATATCCAGCAATTTGGGCATTAATGACTGGCTGTAATACTGGTAGCTTAGCTGTAGCATTTGTAGCTGAGGGATTCAGCTTCCGGGTAACAAGAAAATTATGTAATTCACGTAGATTACTGATTAGCAGTGCTAACTTGAAATTTCGAGTTACTTTTCTCAAAAGTTTGAGTTAATAAGTTGAAATTTCGAGTTATGGATACTTTTTTTTTTTTTTTTGTGTGTGTGGCAGAAACGGGCTTCCATACTCATGTGGCCACTACAGGAACTGTAGATTTTGGCCTTAACACTGATTAACTCCACTTATCAGACACCTAGAGGCAGGCCTGGCCAGAGAAGTGAAGATATCACTGAATAGCTATTATGCATTTACTGAGACTGTTCTTTTCCATCACTGTGCATCATATTGGCTCCCATCATGGTCTCTATAACAGAATATAAGCTTTCCAGTGCTGCTTTCCATTTACAGACTTTATGACCAGGCCAGTCGTACACTAGGTGGTCAGTTGCACAACACAGAACATTAATATGGTAATATGGCTCCTGTTGAACACTGCAAAGGCTGTGATTTGGCTGAATGGTTTTTGCTGGTGACATAGAAAATACTAAACAATAAATTTCAGTCAATGCTTTATTACTTTTTATTGCATGAAATGACATGAACGTGTTTATATCAAGATTATGACTTCATAACAAATAGCAATTTATGATCTAATTGTTCCTACAGGGGAAAAACAGACCATCTGTTACTACAGGATGTGTGTGAGTGTGTGTGTGTGTCTCTGCATTAGAGCAGTGTTTCCCAACCTTTTGGAGCCACGGCACATATTTCACATTAGAAAAATCACACGGCACACCACCAAACAAAAATGTCACAAAATGGATATTGCTAATTTTTCCCCACACACCAGGCATAGCCGAATTGGCTCGGTTTGTCCCCAGTATACCCCTTTTGCTTTCTTCTGACCACTACTCATGCTAGGGTCCCCAAAGGGTCCTGATACTTTTTTGCGCCATGGACCCGTTTAATGTCAGAGAATATTTTCACTGACCGGCTTTTAAGGTGTCGCAGATAAATACAACAAAATAAAATGATACGACCGAGACACAAACTGGTATTTTGTAAATATAATAATAAATGCGAATTCACTGTGTAACTTTATTAGCAGTGTACTCCTGAAATGCGGCAACAACATTGAGAGTAACATCCTCCTCTCAGCCCTTTAATGCTCTCTGGTCGCTATGGTAATGCGTAAATATTTTTATATTAATATTAACATCAACAACAGCAGCAGCAGGCAGAGCAGGAAAAATGCAGTCAAAATGTAATCAGGTTGAATTATGTGTGGTATAATTTTTCATCTGCATCTTACTAGTTCATAAAATGTCTGATTGTACTTTTCCTGACTCTAATTAAAATTTCAGTTAATTTGGGCATGTTTGCCTGAGGGCTGGAAAGAGCTTTTTCAAACTGGGACATTAAAGATTTATCAGTTAACTATTTATCTTACAGTATCTTTTAATGATGTCTGTCTGCTGTGTAACAGCAGCTTCTGTACATGAGCAGATGTGTACACCCCCAAAATAATTTCCATGATAGAAACACATTTGTTATTAGTGCTGTCCTTGGAACATAAACATCTAGAGCTGAGGTAATTCATCATGAAGCTTTACCGGCTGAACAGTTTCACCACAAAGGCCTTGATTTATTTTTATGTAAAGTCTGTTGCAGGTAATTTCATTTAGACTAAATGTTTTCCACTCAGGAAGCACTTCCTGCACCTGTTAGGGCTGAATCATAATGCCAGCATCATTGATTGCAAATCATTGCAAAGATTTCTTTGATTGCTTGCCACATTTTGTTTTAGAACGTTTATGAAGATGGATAACTAAACGGAGAGAGAGTATACACATTTTAAGAAAGGATTTCTGTTTGAATTGTAGGATAAGTCAGTGTTTCCCAACCACTGTGCCGTGGCACATAGGTGTGCCATGAGAAATGATCAGGTGTGCCATGGAAGATTATTTGGTTCCACCTGATTAGTAATCTAAGCGACAGGCGTGAGTAACGGGCAGAACAATTACCTTTTTTTTTTCTACTAGAGGGCAGTACAACTACCTGCTCTAATCAAATGGATTGCCAACTGCCAGTAAAACAGAAGAAGACGCAGAAGAAATTACACAATAGTCATGCTGCGAGTGAGACAAGGCAGCGCGAAATAGCAATGGATAAATATTTAAAAAGAAAAAGTAGTCAATCTGACCTGGTCCTGGAGAAAATTCCGACCGAGATGAAGGCCCTAGCATGAGTAATGAAAGCAAAAAGTACTGGGGGTATACTGGGGACAAACCGAGGCAATTCCGCTATGCCTGGTGCGTGTCAAAAGATCAATATCCTTTTTGTGACATGTTTTTTGTTTGGTGGTGTGCCGTGTGGTTTTTCTAATGTGACATGTTCCGTGGCCCCAAAAGGTTGGGAAACACTTGGATAAGTTACCCAATGCCGAAAATCTTTAGAAAAATGGTGTAATCGTTCTTTTCACTGTGTACTTTAAAGTTTTGTGGAAGAAAAAAACTCTTGTGTATCTTTGTATCTATGAGCTGCTACTTTAAGGAAGAGCCTTGCCTTTTTGACACTTGACCTTACCCCAGAAAGGGTTTTCCTGTCTGAGAATTAATCTTTGCTGTAGGTATAGGAAAGGCATTTACTTGGTTGCAGGTCTTCTGTCTCTTCGTGTGAAGTGTTGTGCCCTGCTGTCAGATAAAGTCTGCCCACTGCTGTCTGCTCATCTCAGTTCACTGTGAAAGGAAATGTGACTTTGTCTAAATAGATGTAAGCAGCGAGATGACATTGTTGTATTAGGTGCGCTAGGATTTAGTGGGTTACAAAACTGAATCTCCACTTCCCCTTTCCATGCGCTCTCCTCCACCATTACCTCATCCTTTTATCTTGCCCCACATGTCTCTCCATCCTACCGCATCCCTCCGTCCGTGCGCCTCCTCCCGGTGACGCCATATCGGAGGAGGATGAGGAGGCGTGCAGCATCAGCGGCGCTAAAGGAGCACAAACGGTTACTTTCGGCTATTTTTTACCTTTCTTATGTTTAATGCATCACTTGGAGCCTTTGAACATGGCGTGCTGGGTGATTTAGTACCGCACTTACTGATACGTCGGAGATATGTTGTTTCCTCCGGAATAAATCAGAAGAACGAGACATCACCGGAAGAAGGCTGAAACATCATTTTAATCGATTGATTTACAGGAGAGCGTTTGGAGGAGCGGCCAGAATGTCTTCTAGCCCCCCATCAAAGGAGTGCCTGTAAAAGCGGAACCAAACGATGAGGTAACTGAGCGCGTTTACAGCTCTGGTTCCGGGATGAGACAGGAACGGCTCCCCGCCGCCGGCAGAAGGCCGAGAGCGGGCGTGAAGCAGCGGCAGCAAAGCTCGGGAGGGGTCGGTAACATCATCAGCAGCGTCCTGAAGAAGCGCAACGGGATATCCAGGAGTGCACCCCGGCTGCTGTGCACCTTAGAGCCAGGTGACCTTCGAGTATATGGGCTTATTTTAAACATCTGCAGGCAGAGCAGCGCTAAAAAAGGAATACATGCCAAAATACTACGAAATGTTGGGCTGAAATATCTAATAATATTAATAAAGTCCACGCTGTTGTTGGAGATTTTGGGTCATGTGGGTGCAGCAATTTTTAAAAAATCATACTTTCCTTTACATATCGTAAGCCAAGAAAGATCACATTCAAGAAATATGTTTCCAATTATGATTATCAAAATAATGGCACAGTTAAGCATTAATGTGGTATTACAAACATTTTAAGAATGGATCCTTTAGGACTGTTTAAAACAATAATTTGTGTGTTAGTCATTTTAAGAAATGATTAACCAGCATAGCGAACAGTCATGAGTGACTTGGCTTATTTTCTGTGTATTTGCGGATGTCTGATGCATCAGACATGTGGTTAGCAAATATGTGCAGGTGACATAAAACAAGCTATTTATTTCCAAAGAAATGGTATATATGGCATATGAGGTCATGGGAAAGTGTTGTGCAGACACCAGGTGCTAAAATGAATGGGCACATCTTTAGTGGCTGGGGTTGCTGTTGATTTGCATTCATAGGATTTACTTATAATGGGAGTAAAATATTTTTATATTTGTCAACCCCATGGGTTTGATTTTTGTCATTAAACATTATTATAATGTAATTCCAATAGTAAATGGCTGTAATATGTAAATATTACAGTACAGTTTACAGTAGTGAACTGTAGCACATTGTAAATTAAAATACCAATAATGTGATGTAAGCGACAAAAGGTCATGGCTGGATACATATATTAAAATTTCAGGCATGAATGTGTCCCACTAAAACTGTTTGACCCACATTTAGTTTGAATCTTGTTAATGTGGAAATCATTATGATACAGGCTGGAAAAAACTTTATAGCATAGCTCATTAAAGTAGAATTGACAATTAAAATGGAATAAGACAAAAACCTTAAAAATACTCGAGATCACTTAAATAGAAAAGGGGGTAACAGAGCAAGTCGAAATCTAAACGAGACGCAGTGAAAGTAAGAATAAGTAGATTCCAGGTTTGAAATAAAACTGAGACGTTTCTCTGGCACATGTGCGGCAGTGTAAGAGATTGTTAAAACCGCTGCTGTATTTGGGTGGAGGTTTACCTTGATAATTGATCAAATTACAGACTTTCAGAATAAGATTTGAATCGTGGACTCTTTTATCCCATCATTTCACACTCTCCTTGTTTATGTTCGTGTTTACCGTGGTTATGTCACGTACACTGTGGAGAACTGGTTAAATTTGCCCTCTGAACTTTGCTGCTGCCGGCCTTAGCTGCAGTTCTGTATCCACACTGAATCGGCTGCGTTAGACTAATCTGTGACGGGGAAGTAGGAGGGTTTTCCGCGTTAATCCTCTCCCGAAGCCCCGAGAGGACACTGCAGAATAAAACTGCGCTCATCCATAATGGCGCACGACAAAACGGCAGAAGCGGACCGTTCAGGTTACAAGCCATTATTTCTTATGTTCGGAGTTTCATCGTAGAGAAAAACCACGCAGGTGTCCCGCGTGAGCGACACCAATCCTCCAGAGGCTGAGCTGGATGGGGACGGGAAGGCAAATGGCCGTAGTCGGAGCTGTTGGCGTTGAGCCGAGAGAACTGGCATGTCAGGACTTTACGGCTTCTTAACTTCAGATGAGAATTTCTCTTCCGGGTAGTCTTCTCGTAGGGCTGTATTCTGCTGTAAATGAGGTTTTAGACGATATTTAATCAGTGAAATGGAGACTGAAACGCGGATTCAGCACTACCAGGAAGTGGAGAGCGACTCACAGCTCCAAAGCAAACCAAAAAATATCACAGTCGGGAAATGAGATGTCCATTTTCCCTTTGGATACACGTGAAAATGTGTAAACTGCGCCATTTTGCCATTGGGTGTATCTGACTAAAACTAGCAGAAAGACTTGAGATCTTTAACATTAAACATTAAGCAGATTGTTTAGTGAAATGAGAAGTACACAAAGGTGTTTGAGGAAAAATGTTTCTCTGGAACGTTTTTATAAATGTGGGTTTTAAATTATGAAGCTCAATAACTTGGGTTCATTAACTACCTTATGTTTTAAGTGTGCGATTTCCAGATAACATTTCTGTGCATGTGTACACATTTAAACAAAAAAAACAAAAAAACAATTCTGTATCTGGAAAAAGTCTGAACATCAAGTAGAAGGTGCCTCTAACCAGCTGTTTGTTTGTTTGTAGGGGTTGACACAAGGCTGAAGTTTACCATTGAACCATCTCTGGGAAAGAATGGATTTCAGCAGGTGAGGGGTGACAATACACTGCCCATATATTAAGTACACCTTCAGATTATTCTGCAGATACCCCTCCCCCCATATTAGCAATGCATAATTTAGACAAATAGACATGTTAAAATAAAAATGTCTACCATACGAATACTGAATATATTTTTTTTCTTTTCAGTTCATCTTCATTATAAAAATAACTACACATCTTTAAGCACACTTGAACCAGTTAGACAACCAGTGACATTAATCGTCACACTAAATATAAAGTTGGATGAATGTGATTGCACTGAATATAATCTATATGCTATTAAGCCAGTAACTCTATTCGATACCACAAGTATCCTTCCTTGATACATCTTCTTTTTATTACTTTAAAGCTGTTGGTCTGAAATTATGTTTACATTCCACTACGTGCATGTTTAGACTCTATGTAGAAGATGGACATATAGTGAGTGAGACTGGATAGCTTTTTCCTTTTTCTTTAATAGAGTAAGCATATAAAAATTATAATTCTGGGTATTTTCATTGATAAACCAATTAAACTGAGTGCTTTTTCTTCCCCACAGTGGTACGATGCCCTCAAAGCTGTGGCAAGACTTCCAACTGGGATACCAAAGGAATGGAGGAACAGGGTATGTTGCTCTAACCACCCAAATATAAGCTTTGTAAGAACTTTGTCATACTCAGTGAGTAAAAAAAGTAGAAACTCTCTCTGTTTGGGCACAAAATTGCTTCCATATAAAAAGGTGTTTTGATAAACAAAGCGTTACACATTTTTCCTCTCTGGTCGTGTTTTGAAGCCATCGGGGTGTTAAGCAAATAAAAGCGAGAGCCCAGCTGTGCTATTGCAAGAAACGTCTGTTCACTTTGTTGTCGTCAGCCTTCGGGCCAAGTTTTTACAGTCATGAGAGAGAAAGCGTAGTATGAAAGAACAGCGTGTAGAGGTACTTTATCTACGCTCCATTCATCTCACATCCCAGTTTTATCTTTTTTGATGCAAGTATGAAGAAATGGAAGCAATTACTTTCATTTTGTCAGAAAATGAAAAGCTTTTCTCTTGCGTGGATGTAAAACGATGGGAGTCACAGTGAACAGGGGCTCCTAATTGAAGTAAAAGTACCGTCTAAATGTTGGCTGGATTTCTACAAAAACCACAGCACCGACTGACTCATTGTTTATTGGCTGCTGTTGTCATTATCCAGGTTTGGCTAACCTTAGCAGACCAGTACCTCCACAGTATCTCTATTGACTGGGAGAAGACTCTTCGTTTTGCCTTTAATGAACGTAGCAATCCAGATGATGACTCCCTTGGGATCCAGATCGTCAAGGTAACCAAATTGTATTTGCAGCATATAGCATAAAATACAGAACAGGCAGACCACTGAATACCTTTTGAAGTGTAATGTAGACATAGTTCAGGGTCACATGCAGGGCATGGTACTACTCCACGGAGCACTCAAAGCACTTCACATACAAACATTCATAAAGCTCTTTTATTCTAAACATTTTGGATCCTGTATCTTTAAAAGAAAGGTCCTGGCTTTGATAAATGAAATGCCAAAAACTGCAGTTCTGTAATTGGCCACTTGAGGCTGGCTCCTAGCATACATTTTACATAAAAGATGGATGCTGTCACTAGGATGTATATGGATGGAGACCCTGAAGCTACATCCGTCTTATACAGCCATTCTGTGGTGCTAATAGCGCGTCACCCCTGTATTGAAATGTCCAGGATAATCTACAACTTCAAATTAAACTTGTAACTGCAACTAGGCTGTCAAAGGCAAGAATTTTCATTATGTATTTAATCCATTTATCTGTTTAAATTATTAGTGTTGATGACTAGTAATCCTAACACAAAACCCCTGAACCTGTGCTATGAGAATATCTGAATGTATGATGCGGTTTTGAAATGTTTCCTGACAATTACAGAAAAAAGCCTTAAAAACTTAAAAAGCTGTGATTGATACGAATTTAAAAATTTCATTTATTCCTGTAAAGTTTTTTTTTTTTTCTGTAAAACTAAGGGCTAGGCTTAGTTCTTATGTCAGCGATGACGTAGACGTCAGCATATTAAAGGTAAATTATTCCTCCAGACTGGGTGTGAATGTCATCAAACTAGCATTTAGTCCACTCAGTGTAGTCTGTGTTTGAAACTTTAGTACTACACTGGATTCAAGACCTATAATTATTAACATTCCATCTTTCCCCTGACCATTTTTTCCTCAACCTGTTGAGGAAAAAATGATGAGCTGTTTTTGTGAGTGCATACATCCGTAATGGCTGTTTATGTGCATTCAACAGTTTATTCGAGCTACCAATAAAATATAATGTGTTTCTCGGAAGGTGTACCTGCTTAGATGCTGTTTGCTGATGACTTGTGCGTCAGAACACAGGATGACTCTGTCAGCTGAGTCATTGCAGATCTTTGCTGTTTCTCACTGACTCATTGATTCAACAGAGGAACGGCTGTTTCCGTAAACAGGGCAAAGTCTAGTCATCATTTATCCTGTTTAATGTTAATGCACGTCCTTGTAATAAAATAATCCAAGCTGTTGTTCCTTTTCGTCCACAGGATCTACACAGGACAGGCTGCAGCTCTTATTGTGGCCAGGAAGGGGAACAAGACAGGGTGGTGCTGAAGAGGGTGCTTCTGGCATACGCCCGCTGGAATAAAACTGTGGGTTACTGCCAAGGATTCAATGTACTGGCTGCTCTTATACTGGAGGTTACAGAAGGCAATGAAAGTGATGCACTGAAGGTATACACCAAAATCTAACCATATAATCAAACTCAGGTCATTGAGTTTAGTCTGCTTACATATGCTGGTGGATTTTAAAATAAAACATTTTTAAGTAGCTTAATTTGCTTTGAATGATCATAACCGTGCTTAAACCATGTTTTTTATTTATTTTCTGTTCTTTTTTTCCCCACTCATCCATATCCAGGTGATGATCTATCTTATCGATAAAGTGCTGCCTGACAGTTATTTTGCCAACAACTTGCGAGCGTTATCAGGTAAACAGCCTATGACAGTACACCTAAGATTTTACTGGCTGCCATAATATCTAATTTTCACACTTATGTGTTAAAAAGATGCTAATGACAATATCGTCGTGCCAAATGTAAAAATGTGAAAGTGGACACCAAATTGCAGGAACTCCATCAGGGCAGATACAGAGTGCTTAACAGAGCAGCAGCAATTAGAGATGCAGGAGATTATCTGTCTGCATTTTAGAGTCATGACTGTTTTGTTTTTGATTGTTTTTTTTTACTCCCTTGGGTACATTTATCTGATTTGGAGATGAAATAATCTCCATAAATGCATTCCTGTATGTTGTAGTCCACACGTAGGCCTGGAGTAGTGACGTCTCAGCTTCAGTCGTATATTGTATTTCCTGAAATGTAACTGGCTATCATCCATCCCTCCCTCCCTCCCTCCCTCCACCCTCTTATCCAGGGCCAGGCCCCGGGGGTTGGCTATTGTGTGATTGAAATTAAGGTTGTTTCATAATTTTTTTTTAAAATTTGTAAATAGGGAAAAAAGAGAAGCTTAATCTGAATTTCTTTCATCCACTAACACTTGAAGCCCTACAAAAACTGGCCGACGCCCCCAGAGTCTAAGTCAGCAGATGGGTCCTACCTGGATTTGAAAACACTAGTGATTTAATGGACTTGACAGAATAAATTTTATATCAAATTGGGTTTATTTTTCCAGTGAAAAATGAAAATAGTTATGTAAATTTAAAAACTGTGGATCTGGGGATCTAATCTGAGGATTAATGAATACCATTAACTTTTCATCACGCTAGATTTCTTACTCTGTTGTCTCCTCCTGTCAGTGGACATGGCGGTATTCAGAGACCTGCTGCGTCTAAAGCTGCCGAGGCTTTCCCAGCACCTCCACCACCTTCAGAAAGCAGCCAACCGAGAGGCTGGAGGTACAGTTGCTATATGGGATATTTGGTCACAAAGTCTGTAAACTATTTAGATGTTCATCCTACAGAGAGGCTAAGAACTTTTTCATGTATGTTTAATATCTGTTTGTCTCTCTGCTGCAGGCAGCTACGAGCCTCCGCTGACCAACGTCTTCACTATGCAGTGGTTTCTGACCATGTTTGCCACCTGCCTGCCGGCACCCACCGTGCTGAAGATCTGGGACTCTGTTTTCTTTGAGGGGTCAGAGGTGCTGTTTCGAGTTGGTCTCGCCATCTGGGAGAGACTGGGAGAGTAAGTGAACCTACCTGCAGTCACACCTGGTGTAGAGAACACACCCAAACACGTATGTTTTGGTAATTCTGCTGCAGATGTTACATCAGGTGTGGCTTGGCTGTTTGGTTGCAGTGTTACTCATGCATGCACATTATGAACAGAGGTGGGGCGTAGCTTACGTGTAACTAAAAAGTGATTGGCTGCTGGAGTAGATTTTATATCAAGATTTTTTTTAGCCCTTTAGGATAGGGGAAAACTGGACATTTCACATCATCCATTCATGCATCTGGGTCAGTAGCTCTCCCTAGCCACTACCTCCAGCTCTTCTGGTGGGACACTGAGGCATTCCTAAGCCAGCTGAGAGAAGTCCAGGTTCTCCCATTTGGAAATTTTCAAAACACCTCACCTAGAGGAATTCCAGTCAGAAGCCTGAACCACAGAGCTCAGCTTACTTCTTTTGGTGTGTAGAGAGTAGAGGCTTCGGGCCCCTCCCAACTGACTGAGGTCCTTACGCTATCCAGTCCAGATATCCTATTGAAGCTTCGTAATGAACTAATCATTTCATTCAGGTGTGTTTACCCAGGGTAATATCTAAAACCTGCAGGACACCAGCCCTTGAGGCCTGGAGTTCAACACCCCTGCTTTAGAGGAAGCAAATTTCTGCTGCTTATTAATGGCAAGGGCAATTAAATTCTCTTGCAAGCACTGAATATTATAATATAAAATATAAACTCAAATATATAAAAAAAAAACAAAACTGGGTGGAGGTATGTAGCTCAAAGCTACATACCTCCTTGAGCACCATGCATCTCAAGAAAATATCACAAAATAATCAAGATATTCGTCTGTGTCCAGGACTGCAGTTCATGCATGGTGCTCAGGGAGTTATGTAGCTTTGCGCTACATACCTCCACCCAATTTTTTTTTTTCAGTGTTTGCAAGAGAATTTAACTCATTCACTGCCAATGGCTGGCAGTGAATGAGTTAATTTCCCTTGGTATTAAAAATCCACTGAAAGCGAATATCACCCTTGCTATTCTATTTTATTAATAATAATTACCCCGGAAATGCATCCTGTGGGGTTTCAGCTGCTGGAGCTGATTGCATCCAAACAGGATGTGAGTCCACATATCAGATGGAAAGTGGTTTTGATGGTTTTGAGTCCCTCAAAATGCCTTCAAGTCTATTGTTTTGCAGAAGCTTCACAGAGAAGATGAAGAGGGCAGGACGTCAGACATGGGAACAGCACAGTTAATCTGGTTAATTTTCAAAATAAAAGGCAACCATTTGCAAAAGCGTGTTTAAAGTGATAAAATATTCTGCTAACACTGTTGATAAATTCTGACATAAATAAAAATTGCTTATCAACTTTTTACGTGTATCCCACATCTCTGATGGTTTAAATCAAATTATAAACCCATCCTTGGTTCTCTCACTTCCTCTTTCTTCAGGAGGATAGAGTACTGTCAGACAGCAGATGAGTTTTACAGCACCATGGGTTGTCTCACTCAAGAGATGTTGGAGCACAACCTCATCGATCCTACAGAGCTCATGCAGGTAGTGAGCAAACTTCACACACACTACTTTAATGCTGTACATGTTGTGATCATGGCTTCCTCACCTGTCTCCTTTCTGTGTCTGTCAGGAGGTTTACTCCATGGCGGTGTTTCCCTTCCCTCAGCTAGCCGAGCTAAGAGAGAAATACACCTACAACATCACTCCGTTTCCTACGTCAGTGAAATCCAATGGAAGGTTTGTTCTAAACTCAGAAGATCAATAGTGCTGTGTAAAAAAAAAAAAAAAAAAAACACACAACTCAATATTTTTCCACTTTACTACTCTTAAAGACATTTTTATGTTCTCTGTGACCGCTAGTGATGACCTGGAGGTGTGACCATGGGACAGATGCTTGTATTATACTGATGGTCACTACTTTCAGAAGGAAAATGGCGCGGTATAGGAAGCAGTAAAGCCTCTTTGTAATCACCAACTATAATTTTAATACAGAATTAACTCATTGTAAATTAAAGCAGTGCAACTCTGCTCACTGACACTAATATTCAACATTAACAGTAAAATGTTGGTCGTCAGCAAATGTTCAGAAAACCAAAACATTCAGTCCAAAAGTGTGTTTACACTCTTTTTTTTCTGTCTGTCTGACATCTCGCCTCTTGTACAGATAAATATGTGTATTTTGTGGTGGTGGTGATGGTTTTCTTGCAGTAGTGGTCTGGGCAGCTGGGAGAGCGATGATGACGCCGACATGGACGATGAAGATTCTGTGGTGACTGCGCTCGGCTGTCTGGGTCCCCTGGGTGGCCTACTGGCCCCCGAACTGCAGAGATACCAGAAACATCTCAAAGGTCAGCGCACACACACACACACACACACGGGATTTAAATGGTGACCCTCAGTGTGGGTACAGTCAGGAGCCAAGCAGTTCCAGATGGACTGCTGCCCCAAATCCTCGTGTCCTGCCCTTAATATGACTCTAAGTACTGACAGACTCTGATCCGTTTCCTCCAGACAAATCCCCACTTCCTGCTTCTTCAAGGACTCGTACAAGCATGAAAAAGCTGAAACCAGCCAGGGGGCTTTAGTTAAAAACATTGGTTAAGATCTGTAAAAGCTGTTTTCCAAACCTGAGCTGAACTTTTAACCTCATAAGAAGATATCAGTACAACTGTCTTAACCTACTTCAAAAGGGAAACTCTGCTCATTATATTTGGAAGCAATGTGAAGGAAAAGAACATCAATCAATCGCCTGCACAGGGGCTCTGAGACAGCAGAGTAATTACAGTGAACAAACTGAGCTGCTTGTCTTTGACGGGGATTTTTCGTTGTGTCCTGCTGGAAGAGCTGAGATGGAAAATAACTTCCAACTTTCAGTGAAGCTGAAGAGAAAACAAACAATAATTCACTCAACAAAATGCATTTTATGTCATCTTCAAAGGCTGCTTGTCTAAAAGCGCCATGATTGTGATGCCATCAGAGGCAAAGAAAACAGGAAAGAGTGACTCAGCCCGCTGGGCTTACTTTGAAAGTCTTTGAAACTTGTAACTTCTAGTCTCCAAAACACTATCAGACAATGCAGCATGTTGTGTACATTTAAGTGAATGCTCCAGATGTTATCATCTATCGATAGCATCAAGCAGCTTTTTTTTTTTCTCTCGCTTGTACTAAATCTGATGTTTCTAGTGCACAGCTGATTTTGATTTAAAGCCAAACTGGGCAAGTAAATAAGTATGAAAAAGAGCTTAAGAAGAGCCAAAAAGGCATGCTGGATTTGGCCTGTTTTGTATATTCTGCTTAAATTGCTCCATCTGCCTTTTTGAACCACCAGCTAATTTGACTCTAATCACTTTATTTCATGTTCAGTCATAAAATAGATCCAAACAAGTGGAAATAATAAAGCATGTGTTCTGGTTTTACATGTATTCTTGCATTCAGACCAGCGAGGCGAGCAGGGAAGCATTGCAGAGCTGAGCCCCGGAGCAGTGGGAGGAGGAGGAGGAGGGGCTGGTAGTGGAGGATCAGGAGGAGGAGGAGGTGCAAGGGCAGAGCATCAAGCAGCCATTAACGGCATGATGATGGAGAGAATGAGCACCGACATCTACGCCCTGAAGAAGCAATACGCACGCATCAAACGACGGCAGCAGCAACAGGCTATGCAACTCTACATCCGCACAGGTAAGTGAGAAATGAGTAACAGCATTCACACAGCTGGTTTACCAAGATGATGAGTGTCTTTGAGCTTTTGTATTGCTCAAAGACACTCATATAAAAAAAAAGCGTTTCATTATGTTCATTATTTATTTTTTCAGGATGTTTTTACATTTTTTTTTTCTTCAGTGCATAAATCTTGTGTGTTTCTGCTGTCGAGACACACCAGAACATTTCTTAAAGGGGACCTATTATACATTTCCTATTGTCTGTTACAATTGTGCATGCTTGTATCAAACATGACCAAAGTTTCAAGTAATGATGTCAGCAAGTACAAGTAATACCTGTGAAATGCTAGCTCAGGCTTCAGTTAAGCAGTTTTAGACACTTTGTTTTTCTACTCCTTAGTCTTTATGATGTCATATTTAGGGGATATCCCTAAATATGGTCATTTTAGGGATATAGCTCAGCTTTTCCCACAGATTCATGTAGTATTTGTCATTATAAGGAGGCAGGAGAGAATACACATATATCAAAGGAAGCACACACCCAAGCGTTAGAATATAAAAGAGTAAATTAAAAACCATATATATATTCCTCCAAAGATCAATTGTCACTAGCCGAGGTCTGTTTGACCGTGGGATGAGAGACTTGACACGACTAAATGACATCGATGACTGAAATGAACTTCAACAGCAACCTCACTAGACCGTGAAAATCTAGAGCAGGGATTTCAAACTAATTTTACATCTTGGGCAAGACCAGTGAAACGCCTCGTTTTATCAGTGCAAAGATATTTAACTAGTCAGAAGAAGGCTGCCTTAAAAGGGAGAGGAGCTAAATTAGCTTCTTTCAGACAGGATGGTAAGATAGATGAGGCTAATTTTTAAATATTAATCATGCAAAGCTACTCTAGTAGACTTAAAAGATAAATGTGGAGCTGAAAACGAGACTAATGGGTCCCCTTTAATAAATAAAATGCCAGTGAAATGGTACACATGGATGAGAATAAAGAAACCAAAAAGCCAGCTGTTGATGATGATTATGACGTGTGACTCACAGGACCTGGACCTGTAGCGCCCACAAGTCCAGGGGTTCTTCAGGGGGCTTCCAGCAAACAGAGTGGCAGCACTACTGAGCAGCACACTGACGGTACTTGTGTCAACAGCCATTCTGAAATTGGGTGTTCTGGGGATTATTTGAGCAATCTTTGGTGTTCGACTTTTTAGAAATGGTCTTTATTGGAATCAACAGATTCTTACCACAGACACAACTAATACAAGTAGAGAACTAAATTCTTCTGGGGAAATCTTGCAAGACTACTGAATGATTACTAGTGGTGTATATCTATAAAAATGATTGATTTTTGACAAAATTCTGGTTTTCGTTGGCTCGGTTTTGCAGATGGATGATGCTCTCAAAATGCTGTGCAGTGCACACGTGTCTGCAGTGCTAAGAAAGCTTTTATTTATAAATTTGACAGCTGTTGTCTGGTATTTTGAGAGCCTTTTGGAAACAGGTGTCACACTCTACTTTTATATAACTGATATTGGATCAAAAATAAGTGTAGAAAATGAACTACTGTAGCTACAACTGGTGATGGTTTTGCTCTGGTTACAGGTGACATACACAATCAATCACCTATATATGTATTCTGAATGTTTATTTGGAGGCACCTGTCACTGCTATGTATAAATAATATCCTTTACATGCATAAATAATATTTGTATACATTTAACTGCTCTTAAATATTTTAATTCTTATATGAAGTGTACAGTATACATTATCAAAATGCTCTGTAGTGACAGATGTTTCCAGTTACACTTGATTTGGTCAATGATTCACATTCTTTGCCTGCATGTTGGAGGATTTCTCTGTTTTGGGTAATCGTGACACTAACCTTGATGAGCAGCTGCAGCTCCTTCCATGTCGTATTCACACATGATTTATAAGGCTTGTGCAAAAGTATTACAGTCACATTTGGTGTTTTCCCTCTGCAGCTGTAAACATTTGTGCATAACACGCTCTGTAAATCACTTTAATCTGTTTTTAAAAAGTCCTGCTTGTACTGTAATATGGTTTATTTACATTGGGAATGGGCCTTAACACTGTACATATTATGTAATATGAGAAAAATAATTTTCACTCTAGTCCACATCTTCTCTGAATCTCATTATTGCATAAACCAAAAGCTCCGCATGCCCCTAGTGTTTGATATCTTATATTGCTGCTTGGAATAGCTAAGTGTTTAAAAAATGTTAAAAAAAATTATTAAAATAGAAAACATGCAGTTATATACAATTTTTAAAACATCAAGCTTTACTTGATGGTTTCTGTATCAAATAATTATAAAAAATTAAAGTAAAAGTTGTTAAAATTGAATGAAGGTTTAGTTATCTAGAGGAAATAAAAACAAATAATGGTTTGATTGGGTCTAAATAAGCTAATAAGACTTAACAGTAGATTTTTTTTGAGCTAACAGGAGCTGTCTTAACCTAACAGGAGAGAAAACTAGATATCTAGAAGAGCTAGCAGAAGCTAACTAAAGCTAACATGGCTAATGGAAAACTAAAAAGGGTTGAGTGGGGTTGACAGGGGCTAATGGTAGCTAATTGGAACAAATGTGAGCAGAAAATAGGTAAAAGAAGCTAGCAGAACTTATCTGAACCTAATAGTATTCAATATTAGTAATGGCAACAAATGAAAGCCTAAAAGAGCAACCGTACCTAGATGTCTAACAGTAGGTACCTGAAGCTAAAAGCGTATGTTTGAAGGTACCATGAGCTAATTGACGCTAAAAGAAACTACTCAGAACTAACAATTATTTTGAATGAACAGGTGTTGATGGTATCTTAATGTGGCTAGCTAAATTAATCTGGAGGTTATAAGAGTTACTAAGAGCTAAAGGGAGCTAACTAGGGCTAACAAAAGCTTAACATAACTATCTGGAGCAAAAATCGGGCTCTAGTTAGCTTTAGTTATCTTTGCTCATGTTATCTTGTTTGTTTTTTAATCTTCTCCCCTAATTTTAATGGTGTTCATATAATGATAGCATGCAGCAGTCATGATTTGCACAGCAACAACAAAATTATGTTTACAATTTATTTTATGCCTTAGTAGTTACTTTGGTCAGCTAAATAAATTGTTTCTCTGGTTAAAGGGCAAAGTAAAAATGTCTCATGGAATTCTGTCATTTTTATGCCTTCTTGGTAAGCTCAGAGAGCATCTGTTGTAAGCTTGTTTTAATACATTTTGTTTTATTCTCTCTGAACTGTCACCTCCCCTCCAGATAAGTGTCCTGCCACGCGTGTCCTGGCCTCACAGCTCAACCCTTCCAGTTCAGTGATAAACCATCTGCTCCTGGGCCGAAAACCACGTGGAGGTGCTCGAGGCTACAGACCCACTTCTGCTACAACGTCCATTTTACCAGGGGCCCGACCTAGTTCTCTGTTCCAGAGTCCGGTTCCTCCGGGTTCCCCAGCCAGGCAGCGCTGTAGCTCCCTGGCCTCAAATAGCACTGGATCTCCAGGAAGCTCCAGAGGAGGTGGAGGATCACCTTGGCGTGCTCATGTTCGGCAACATCGGAGGAATATAGCTAGGGCTAGAGCTCAGCTGGGATTTGGAGATTCAGAGGACAGGGAAGATGAAAAGGAGAAGGAAAAAAGAGAATCAGCAAAGTTGGAGGCTGAGGAGCAGGAGGAGAAACAGAGTGAGGAAAATAAATGGGATGATGAGCAGAAAGAGGCGAGCGACTCTTTTATACCTCTGTCTCCTGACTCCTCTGGTACGGGGTCAGCATGTGAAGAGCCTTTACAGGGTTCAGATGAGACTAAAGGAGCAGAAGTTGCAGATGTGGTAGTGCAGCTGGACTCCCTGACTCTAGAGAGTGAATCAAATCAAAGTTCTCCCAACGACCAAAACCCAGATACAGTACCCAAATTACCAGAGTTTAAACCTGCACCCCAAGTCCCTCTCCTCCCTCCACCGCCATCCTCCATCAGACATAAAGAGTCTGACTCATCAGAAAGACACGCTGGCTCTGTCAGATGCTTTTCTCCTCCTACTACTCCACCACCTCACCACTCCTCCAACTCCTGCATCTCTTCTTCATCACCTTCCACACCAAGCACACCCCACTCTCCAACAGCTCCTCCTTCTCTTGATCAATCTTCCTCAGATTCTCCTACACTAACCTCCACTCCAAAACCCAACTCCACCTCCTCCTTACCACCTTCTTCATCAGCTAATTGCTTATCTGCGCTCTCTCCTCCTGCTTCTTCCACCTTTTACAAAACCTCCTCCCCCTCTACCCCCTCCCTCTCCTCTATCTCCTCATCTTCTAGATCCCAAGTCTCCTCTTCCCCGTCAACCCCGGGGCTCTCCTCCATTCCTAAACACCAAGTCTTCTCCCCGTTCCCTTGTGTGAAGCAGCCCAGGAAGTCTGTCGCAGCCAGAAACCTGGGCCTCTATGGTCCCACCTCCAGAACTCCCACCGTCCACTTCCCTCAGCTCAGCCGCAACCTCAACCGCAGTAGTGCAGCCGGACTGACTGGCAGGCGATGAAAAGTCCTGACTGAACCATGTTGCCTCCTGCATATTAGGGAAAACACTTAATAATAACCGACAGTATAAGGTCTAAAAGATTGAAACTCAGCTGTAGTTTAAGAAGTAACTAAGTGTTAACTTTTTTTGTTGGGGGGGGGATTCCCACTGCATTAGTACATTTGAGGAGCTTGGGACAGCATCCAGACCCTCACTGTGGCCTATGCAGGTCATTCTTGACCATAATGGATTTAAAAAAAAAAAAAAAAAAAAAAACAACAAAAAAGATTTCCATGGGTAGAGGCTCCATCTGTTAAGTGTATACACATCTCTTCAGTAGCAGCTTGTTCTCCTGGACTGAAACGTGAAGATGCTGTGGTCAGATTCTTCACTCTGGACTTCCTTGGACCATATTTACCAATACAGTGGAGTATCTTTTCCTATGAGTTTGCACAATAGCCATCCAGTTGTTTCTATGCCAAGTATTTAAAAATAATAAGTACACACGAAACATGACATACCTAAGAATTTCTGTAATGGAGAAATGAAAAGAACTGCCTAATGATGTCCTGAAGCACTTAACATTTTTGTTGTAATGTTAAAATCTGTGCATGTGTTTGTTTGTTTCTACCAGTCATCAAGAATGAATGAAGATCAGGGGCATTTTTTCTTAGTTTGTTTTGAAGGCTGTGTAAATGAAATTAATCTAAATATAAAAAGCATTTGTTCTGAAACTGGTTACTGGAATTGATGAGCTCTTGTTTTACAGTAGTTCCAAATGTGATGATTTATAAGGCAAAGGCAGAAACACTTATTGTGTCAGCACTTTGAATTTTGTCAGTACAAGTATTCAACCACAGGAATGCTTTTCACTGGGCTTTTACTGCAATGCAGCTGCCTAAATAAATGAGGATTCCAGCATGAGAAGCCACAGTACAGTTCTTATGATGTATGCTTATGACCTTTGAGAATTTTGAAGTTCTAATTCAGTTCAAGTCTCAGAAATCAACCCGATAAGTTGATACAAGTCAGACTTATACAAATAATCCAGACAGCATTTACTGCAGTGTGACAATCATTACACCGCTTAATAATGCTGCATCTGAAAGAGAAAAGGTTCTGATAGCTTATTTGTAATTTAGCCAAAACTTATAAAATATCCTCAGTTTTTGTGAAATTGGTTTATCTTGTGAAATGATTCTGGTTCCTTTCACGTATTTATGCACATATTATTCATTTTATATCGGTTTATGACAAAACTGCCAAATTCACAGACTTGTACTGCACTTCACTTGACATAAAGACATCCAGTTGTTCTGAATCTCTTATCTTGGATTTTCTGAGGAATATTTTTCATTGAGGCTTTCACAAGACTTATTCAAAGTTCAGAAGTGCATATATCTATTAAGTGCTTGAATTTGTTACCCCCTGCCTGATTTATTGGCTGAGTTTTATTGTGGCTTAGATTGGAAACATTGGGAGACGGACGTGTTTGTCAGCCTGAATGCATTTTAGATGCTGCTGCTTGCATCCTGAGGTATTATTAGTTCAGCTGATGCCTTCAGAAACACTGCATTATCCAGCTAATAGCCTGTAACAGCACCATCTATAAAACTCACATGCCCCAATTGTCTCATGAATTCAAGAAAATAGGAAATGATGTATGCTTGCAGTCAGGTGAATGTTGTGTGCTTCTGTTTTTCATGCATTATCCAAGTTGGCCCAGAGGAGCACACTTTTTCTTTCATGGCGCAACTTTAAAAATAAACTTTTGCTTTTGTGATTTTAAATAAATAGCTTGCTATGCTTAGCTAACATTTAATTTAGCTAAGCCTACGCATTTAATTTCAAATGTAACAAAAAGAACAAAAAGTGAGCTGGTTACGAATGTAGGACAAACAGCTGCACTATGATGTAATATGTGGAGAAGGATTCGTCATTAAATGTGATACGTTTAGCTCAGTCTAAAGCTGAGCTGCAGAAGAGCTGGCTTTAGAGCTTTAGGTTTCTCTCATTTTCTTATTTTTAAATCTTCATTGATGGAAGTTGTGCGTTGCACAGGGGGACAGATAAGAAAAAAGCCGTTAAAGCAAGCTGTTTTTAGCATTCCCACTCCATCTTGTGCACAATCTCTTGGTTTGGGTGGTTGATACTAGGAATTTAAACTCATCTGCCTTCACTGTCTTTACTCCTTGCAGCTTCATCATTCCACCTCTCATTCACACACATGTATTCTGTCTCACTTATGTTCCTCTTTATTCCAGCGCATACCTCCACCTCTTCAGCCTCTTTTACAGCTGTTCTCTACTCTCAATAAAGATCAGTCTTGTCTGCAATCATCATAGACCATGCATACTCTTGCCTGAACTCATCTGTCAACCCGTCCATTACTGTTGGAAGCAAAAAGGGCCTATCTTGAACGTCTCTGTCACTTCTGCCAAAAACGTTCCCATATCTTCATCACTTTTATAGCCCCTCACTTCCTCCTTACCAATCCTCTTCCTTCATCTATCTTCTTCTTTAATTTTCTTCAGTAATCCGCTCCTTAAAGTACTCCTTCCAACTTAACACACTGTTAATTCATTTAGTATGTTTCTGTCTCTATCCTCATCCTAACCTGCTGCATATCCTTTCTAGTGTGATCTCTCTCTGCCTAGAAGTAAAAGTCTTTTTCTCCTTCTTTATTGTCCAGCCTCACACACAGCTGCTGTTTTTATCCATAGTTGCAGAAATTTGTGAAATTGTTAGCATAGTTAAGCAAATCCAGTAATCCACTGGAGACGCATGGATTGTTTTCCCTACTGAAATTTAAGTCTGAGCACCTGTCTGGGACCACAGGTGTGATCCAGAGTTCATCAGTTAATTCATTTAGTATGTTTCTGTCTCTATCCTCATCCTAACCTGCTTCACATCCTTTCTAGTGAGATCTCTCCATGATCTCTCTTTATCTCATTTAAAACTTCATTTGAGTTTATTTTCTCATTTAAGTGTAAGGGGGGAAAAAGCATTTGGCACAGCTGCTGTATCTGGTTTCCACGGTCACATTTTAAAATCATGAGTCTTTGCCGTAGTATCACGAAAACATCTGTCATTTCTGCATAGCATGTCATTTTCCCCCTGATTCTCTTGCCAACAAAAACACTGTATTTGGTTTCATGTGACGCAGCAGCTGTGTGTCGTATGTTGTGTATGATGTGTTAAAGGGATATGTTACCACGTACTGTACACCAAACTATCCTCAGTTACTGTAAAGAGTTTTGATGTAGTGTAATTTACACACTCCAAATAAAGAAGTACTGCGAGAACAAGAGGCGGCTCGGCTTTATTGAGACATTTTTTTTCCTTATTGGATGTTATTGTCTTGAGAAAAAGAGAGTGCTGTGAAAAACAAGTACACAGCTAAGGCTTCCATAGAAGTTAAGAGCAGCCAGGTGCTGCTAATCAAATGGACTTGATTAACTAATCGTCAGCAGGTGTGAGCAGCTTTTGCACTTGGTGGTCTGGAGTGTTTAGGTGTGTGTTAATGAAATACCACAGTCTTCTCAGGAGAGGATGGCCCAGCAGATTTACACCAAGGTCAGGCCATGTGTTGTTCAAAAAAAGCTGTAAAACCTGCATCTCAGAAATTAATTATCATGTTAAATGTTAAAGATTATGAACACGTATGGCTTGTTTGGAAAGTTTTGTAGAAAAAAAGCTGCCTCTGTCTAAAAATAAAATGTATTGCAAGCTGTAGGGTGCAAAGTAGTGATGGGCAGATGAAGCCCCATGAAGCACTGAAGCTTTTCTTTGGAAATGCTTGAAATGGAAATGATCATTTACTGTGAGGTGAGGTGTGGTTGGGGTGTGGACAGTGGTTGTGCTTTTGTAACGTTGAGGTATGGACAGCTACACACTGAGGCTTTGAGCCTCAGTCCTGCCTGTTCACATTTTATTCTGTAAAAACTAAATTTTCACTGCTTTTATGACCTTTTTAGTGGGGAGAACATAGCTAGGATTTAATGATTTAACAAATCTTTTGAATCCTTTGTCCTCCACAATGCTAAATGGCTGGGAGTCCTCAATCACCATGCTGACCAGGTCTTCCTCTATTTGAGATTGTTCTCCTGAGGAAAGACAATAAAGATAAAGCACAGATATAAATAGCACACACGTAACTTATAACAGTTGTATAATATTGTTATATCATTTAGTAACATTACTGCATCCTATATTATCATTGCATTTGATGGCTCACCTGGTCTTGCTCCACGATCGGTGTCCCCCTTATTCTCATGCAAAGCTCTGTAGTGCCTAAGCATGGATGAGGTGTTGCTGTTATATCCCAGCTCCCTGGCACATAGCAAACACTTCACCTTGTACAAAAGTCAAGACAGCTCAACATAAATTGTATTGCACCATCAGTATCATGAAAATACATCTTCTGTAGAAATACCTTGTTGGGAGGAATAAGATTAAAATGTTCCCACACAGGGGAGGACATCCTCCTCTTCTTAGCTGGCTCCATTCTCTCCTGACTTTCTCTCCTCACTCTCATAAACCTCCAAACGGTCTCCAAACTCTCACTAACCGCAACTCTCCATCAAACACCCACATTTTTGAATGAAGTCTGAGGGGTTTATATCGCTGTCATATCTCGCGGCAAAGTTCGAACCACTTCATGAACCAGTCACGTGGTACAGCCGGGCAGCGAGGCTTCGGACGTCATCATTTTCAGCTCCTCCCATAAATGAAGCAAGCCTCGATACGCGCTTCGCGGAAACGCCCCCTCCATTACTCGACACACGCTCCGAAGCCTCGATACAGAACGTCCCATCACTAGTGCAAAGCCAATGGAACAGACCCACAAGACTTGTGGAATAATGTCCTTTGGACAGATGACAGATGTCCATAATGCACACTGCTATGTTTGGTGAAAACCAAACACAACATATCAGCACAAACACCTCCTACCTGTGGTGGAAGGGTGATGATTTATGCTCGTTTACAGGAACTGTGCACCTCACAGCCACTGAGTCACCCATAAAGTCTTCTTACCAAATTATTCTAGAGACAAATATGCAGTCATCTGCTTGACAGTTAAAGCTTGGCCTAAACTGGGTCATGCAGCAGGCCAGTGATCCCAAGTACAGCAGCAAATCTATAACAGAATGGCTGAAAAAGAAAAGAATCAAGGTGTTGCAATATCCAAGCCAAAGTCCAGACTTCAACCTGATTGAAATGCTGTGGTCAGACCTTAAAACAGCTGTGCATAAATGAATGGCTGCAAACCGCAGCGAAAACAAGCTAAAGTTTCTCCACAATAAGACTGATAATTATACAGAAAAGGATTATTTCAAGATCTTATCAATAAAGGTGGTTCTACAAGACTGAATCATAGGGGTTAGTTAGTTTTTCTCAAACTGCATATGGGTTATGTTTAATTCTTGGCTCCTGTGAGTCAGTCATTTCTCAACCTTTGAGAAAGTATTTAAACAGACAATTATTCTCATGCCAGGCCGTAAGGCTATGTTGTTGCACTGGCTGCAGCTATGGAGGTCACTGAGAGGTAACAGCTCCCTGTTTAGAGGACAACCGTCTGTGCTAGGAGTTTGGGGGAGTGGTGGCTAAATAAGTCAGAGGTTCATCACGCCATTGAGCTGTGTTTTGCATTTGGATTTGCTTTATCATTACTTAGGATTTCACTTGTTCATGAGGTTTAAGAAGAGGTTGTGATTTAGGGTTTTAAAAAAAACACCCTCAAAAATAAGGTGAGTCCCAGGTCTGTCTCAGGTCAGAACACAATATGTTAAGAGCTCAAGTGAGCCACACCAGCAGCCTTGACACAGCACCACTAACTGAAGTCCTTGGAATGACAATGGGATTTTTTTTCCCCACTCAAAGTGAATTTTGGCTAAACTTTCCAGGTGGCTACCTGCTGAAAAAAAGGTTTAGCAGAAGAACAGTCTCGTGTGTACTTGCAGGTGAAATATGAGACAAATAGATTTTGACTGTCAAACCTGCATGTATAATTGATTTGGTTGCACTTTAAAAAAAAAAAAAAAAATTTGTAATTTTACACTGTGTGTGTGAGTGAGTGAGCGAGCATGGATCTCAGCACAACAACTACAAGATTAGCATCGGTTGCATTGCGTGCAGCTGCTTGTGCCAACACAAGGACCATCATCTACCCACTGCACCCGTGGTGTCACAGCTTTACAGTGAATCTGTGTTACCTTGTTTGAACAAGGTATTCAGCTCTGGTTAAAACCTCTTTGGGGCCCACCAACAGTTTCTCTACACAGTAAAAACCCCAATACCACTTATTATACTGTACTATTTCTTTGTAAAGGAAGTTTATTTAGGTCACAGGTGCTACAGAGCACCTGATATTGTTTGGTTGATGGGGACAACAGACAGGTTTTTATGTTCTCAAAGATTTAATGAGCGACTTAGAAAAATATTAAATTTTTAAACCTTTAAACTTTTATCAGTGAATCTTCCATCAAATAAAAAAGGATCAGAATGGAATATTTGAAAGTTTAATTTAAAAAAAGTGTCTGTAAATATATAGCTATTCTATCACAGATATTGGAACATATATTAGATATATATTAGACTTTTGCACTAAAATGAAAGGTCATTTTAAAATAAAATGTGATTCAGGACAATGATTGGAGGTAATGTCATCTATATTGGTGTGTGTCAAAAAATAAATTTTTTGTTCTGTATTTCTGTCTCTGTCACATGCAAATATCTGGCTATGACTGGTGTGAAAAAATAGTTGTAGATGATTGGCTCCAGCCTGATAACAACCTCTTACATGAGCAGTCAAGACGTCAGTCTTACTGGGGAAGCAGTAAGACACATTTGTTGTCAAATTAATAAATAATAATAAATACATTATCTTTTTAAAGAAGTGGTTCATGTGGCTGCTTGGGACTCGTAGATATGTTTTTCATGTGCTGTCTTAGCCATCCTTAGCAACCTGTTAACTGTTTGCCAAAGATGTAAGACACAGATGTTAAACATGACATGGGGCCAAAACTGGATGCCAAAAAGCTTCAGCATTAATAAATACATGTATTTCCAGGTCTTGAGAAGTTGTTTTAATCATAAATAATGCAAAGCAAAAATATTCATTTCTCTATGTGACAGTTTTATCTTTGTAGAGCTAGTATAAATTGTAATGCACATGTAAAACAGATACTGTTGCTATGTTTTGTTTTGTTTTAAACTCTGATGCAGTGCGTAAAAACAAACTAAAATAAGTTTGACACGTCAGAGCTAAGATATTTGGCAGCCAGCAGCCCTCAAAAACAACCACCGTTTAATGGTAAGTTCTAAACAAGCAAATTGGGTAAGACATGGGGTTTTGTGGTATTCTGACCTACAAAATTATCCGTGTTATTTAGGCTGACTTGCATATAAACATGCATCACGAGCAATAAATAGTGACACTTTTGACAGGTATGTATGATCACTTACAAGGAAACAAGCAAAACCCATAAAACTAACCCCCAACTCAAACTCATATTCTCAAAAATCAGAGAAAAAATACAGCTAAATACAGTAAAACAAACCCAATAACTGACCCATATCCATAGCTAAACTACTAGCATCAAAATGTCTTTCTTTGCTCTTATGATTAGTTTTTCTTTCAGTAATCAGTGACTTACTGAAAAATGTGATAAACACTTTTAATTGGTTCTTACACACAAACAACAACTCTTCTATTTTCTTATTCTGAATAAATTGATTAGTATGAGTTCTTCTATTTTCTTCTCTTCTTTATGTAATCACGTGGGAATTTCTTTTTCAGGAGCATCCCTGATGTGATTGGTTTTCCAGCAGAGGGCGACCTGACCCCAGTCCAAATATTGCTTGTATCCCATGTAGAATAGTGTCATCCTCCCTGAGCAGACAGAGCCCCTTCATGTTGCCAAGTAAACAACAACCCAATCTTTTTGCAAGGTCAGCGTAAATCTTAACCCTGTCCCTCCCAAATGTTGTGTTACTCATGCATATTCAGATTATTTGTCAATATATTCAAACCAAGATTGGTATCAGGGATCTCAAATCCATAATTGTTAAAGCAGCAGTACGCTGGTATGTTTGAAGGAGTATTGTATATGGCAGGAAAAAAATCATTTTACATTTTGAGAATATTGAGTTTAACAAAATATCCGAATGTTTTTTTTCCTTTGTCATTTTCATTTTATTTTAAATATTTTTTAAAATTGAGGAACCTGGAATGTTAGGCGTCGGTATTAAAAATTTCAGGCTCGGGCAGCAGTTTGAAGGAGGACCCAAGTTGCAGACAGCGGCGGTAATGCGAGTGAAATTTCTTTACAGTGTGGCAAGTGGCAAACAGGAAATGAAGAACAAGCTAGACATAAACTAAACTGGGAAAGCTAGTAACAAACAAAACCCAAAACCATAACTCACAGAATAAAACGCTGGGAAAAACATATGGAGGTAACACAGGGGATGAGGAGTAGAGACTGAAGACCAGAGAGACGGACTGTCACCAAGTTACACAGAATAACACAGAGGAACCGACAAGGAACACAGGCAGGCACACACTATAAATACACACAAGGTAATGAGGGAATCACACACCAGAGGGGAACACAGCTGAACCCAATTAAACACGACGAGACACAGACCTTCAAAGTAAAACAGGAAACTCACAAACAGTTTTACAAACAAACTCAGAGACACGAACAAAGCACAGAAGGGAGAACACTAAAACTCTAAGAACTAATACAAAATAAGAATCGGCATAAAACAGAAGATGTTACTAAAATGAAACACAAAACGCTGACAAAGTGATAAAGTCTAAAGTGGAAATTTTGAAGAAAAATTAAAATACTTTTCTTTGAGGGTAAAGCCAAAATTTTGGGAATAAAGTTTAAAATTGGAAAGTAAAGCTATAAGTTTGAAAGTCATGTCAAACTTGGGGCTTGACTGGTGATGCATTGGTGGAATCCTAAGTTTGTTTTAATGTGAAGGATATTTTCCTGTTTTTGCAGGTAAACAGTGTGATAATAAATATTAGTACTATCACTTTTCTCAACATGTTAACATTATGTCACGGTTCCCAGATTTAATCCTTGTTTTGTATTTCCTTCTTTGTGTTGTTTATGATTTGGATTTTTGGTTTTCATTCATTCCTGAGCATTATGAGGCTTTAGTACTTGTCATGTTTTACATTTGTGGCGTTATTAGTCTGTCTTTTCCCCTTCTGTTCAGTTCATGTATGCGTCGTGAATACTTGTTTCAGTGTGGTTGTTCTTCATTTCCTGCTTTATTTTAATAGTTGTCTTTTGTGCCTTGCATTTAGTTTTGCTTCCTTGTCTTGTCCTAATTAGTTTCAGCTGTGTCTTGTTTCCCTGGTGTTTTCTATCACTTCATGTGTATTTAAAGCTTTAGTGTTCCTTCAGTTTTTGTCAGTGTCTGTCTGTTCCTTGTCTGTTTAGAAACATATTCTAAAGTTTGGATGTTGTTTCACTTGGACTACTACACTTAATTAAAGGTTTGTTTTCGATTATTTGTTTGGCTGTCAGTCCTACATCTGGGCCATCCGTAGCACCTTAATGGAAAAAAAGAGCCTCTGACATTCTTTCTTAGGTAGTCTATATTTAACACTGAGTGCTAAAATAATTCAGCCATCAGTTGAGTAAATGTCTGTAACAGTGGAAAAGATGGTAAAGTTTCAAATTAAGTGGAAAAACTGAGATGGCTATTTTTGTTAACACCTCCACCTCTGGTCTCTGTCATTCTGATGTAACGCTACACGACCGAGCAGTTTTCATGTTGTCCCTCACCGAAACAAACACATTAAAAAAAAAGCCCACAATGTGCACACTTTAATGAACAGAATTCACAATGAGGAGAACATCAAAACTACAGTATGCAGGGAGTAGCTCATCATTAAAACAAAACTCCTGAGATACAACAGGAAAACACATGTAAACAATAACCCAGTTATTAAACCTCAGTACATTAACAGATCTACAACCAAGTAACAACACAGCATATCAGATGGACTATATAATTTATTTACATAAGAAAAAAAAAGACAATAAAATAAAAAATAAAAAGGAACAGGACAAGAAAACTAAGTTTCCATTTGGTTAAAGCGACTTTCTCAGTTTACTTTACTTGAAGACGTTAACTTCATTAAACTATTCTGAGGCACCATAAAATCACTACAAGCACATTTTCTATTTAAACACACAGCCCATTAAGTAGGAGGCCTGTACTACCGAATAACTTCAGCTTACCGTATCTGTCTTCATTTACAATAACACTGCAATCGAAGGTAATTATAAACTGGATAAGCCCACTCAGGGTTTCCCAAGGTAGCTATTAGCATCTTCACAGGACAGCATATGACCAATGACACATGTGGACAGATCTACCACTTTGAAAAAGTTGAAAAGATCATTATACCAGCAGCAAAACTCCATTTATTTATTTTTTTACTCTTCCATTTATTAAGGAAGAATAAAATATACTGTTAGAAAAGTCTGGAGAGTTAAAGGCTCTACTTATTACTATTTACCCTGTTTCCGTTACCAACAATAGATGTATTAAAATGTTCCAATGTAATTAATTATGAAATAATTTGTGTGCAAAAAGATGTTAATCTTGCTGCTCTAGGTCTGTTGGCAAAACATCACCGTGCAGTAATTAAAAGTTGAAAATTACAATAAAATTAAGCCTATAATGTTTTTGTTTTGTTTTTTTAAACAAAACATATTTCCATACAACTTTCATCCTTACCATTTCAGGTTGGGGAAAAAAAAACAAATATGAAAAATTGTAGGAGAAGATGATTCACGGTAGGACACATTTTTTAGATTTAAAAAAATCTCAATGGCACATAAATATCCGGCTGGACTTTACAATCACTTGAAGGTTAATAAACCCAGTTTACTGGCCAACGGACTGAATTAATTAGGCCTCAGTCCGGCAGGCTTAGAGGTCAGTCAGCATCACCCACGGCAACCACAGGTCACTCGGTAAAAATGTATTCCCTGACCAGTTGGCGATGGTTTGCTGGAAGTTGCTGGCTGGTGAAAGTGGTTGCAATGAGGTACAGGGTGTTGCACTAAAAACCTTGTAATTACTGTTGCCAGTTAGCATAAAGGACACCAACTTGCCTACAAACTCTCTGAAAAGGGTGATATAAACAGTTCTGCTTCAAAGTAAAAATTACACGTTTAAGGTGCAATGTCACTCATTGAGCATTTGGAGACAAGTTAGCATCTTCAGTGCAAACTACGGATGAACAAAGAACGAGAGGGAGATTTCTGATCCAACACCTTTGCAACCAAATTCACAAAGCAGCCCCTCCCCAGTTGGTTGGAGATTACATATTTTTCCCTCAGCGAGCTTTAGCTGCCGTTAAGTACAGGGATTTAGTGCGCTATTGCTTGCAGAAAAAAGCAGGAATGAAATTGTTCCTCAAGATCTGGTTTTCTTATTGATGCTCGTCGTGGAAAGACAAGAAATATGAGTAAAAATAATTAGTACGAGGGCTCTTCCAGAAATAGTGGTGCTTTTTTTCAGGAAGTGATGAGTCCCAAATGTAACATGCTCCGGAGCAGGTTAGGTTTGTACCATCTGGCTTTGGTAAGATGAGAAATGGCTTCCTGACTCCATATAAACTAGACTTAAGCCTGAAGTTACCTCGCTAAGTCCCAAATCTAGCTTCACAGTACATGCCTCGAGACATGGAAGATGTACACTTTCTCTCTTTCTTTCTTTTTTTTTTTTTTGAATATTTGCACATATTTGCACAAGTGTGCAATGTGTGAATAGTTTTATGACAGAATAAAACCAAACCAACTACATGCTGTTAGAATAACACTGTAAGAAAATGTATGCCTTTAGTCAACTAAACTCTAAAGTATCAAAGTTGACTACAGGTACATTTTAAAGGTATTTGTTTGAAAGTTAAAGATCCGGTCACAGTTTGGTTGTATCGGTTTATACCCCTTTAGTGGTTAGCATCATCATGTATGTGAGTTTTGCCACATTCGGGTTCTACAGTAGGTTCCAGTTACAGTCACTGCTGGTTGTGACTGAGCAGCCTGTTTGTAGATTGTAGCCATTTTTTGTCCGGTGGTCAGCGTGCTGCGATCCGAACCATGCCAGGATTAACGAAGGAGAAGTTTCTGAACATCGTCTGGTCTACGCTGTTGATAAGCGTGCGGTCGGCACACGATAGTCTGGGCTTCTCGTTGATAAACTCTTTGTCGAAATTACTGCAGTCGCTGGGTGAGGTCTGCGAGGATGAAGGGCAAATATTTAATTACATGCAATATTTCATACACCAGCGAGTAGATTAACAAGTAAATACTGCAGTACAGTATTTACTTGTTGTGCATTGTGTGCCGGGTGGCGGCCAGGAGCGGAGGCCCTGGAGGACTGACCCCCGGCTGCCAAGACTGGCAATAGGGACATGGAATGTCACCTCTCTGGTGGGGAAGGAGCCTGAGTTAGTGCGTGAGGTTGAGAGGTACCGGCTAGATATAGTCGGGCTCACCTCTACGCATGGCTTGGGCTCTGGAACCAGTCTCCTGGAGAGGGGCTGGACTCTGTCTCAGTCTGGAGTTGCCTCTGGTGAGAGGCGGCGGGCTGGGGTGGGTATCCTAATATCCCCTCGGCTTGAAGGAATACTTCGAGGACCTCCTTAATCCCACTGACACGTCTTCCGAGGAGGAAGCAGAGTCTGGGGATGAGGGGAATGACCCGCCAATTTCCGGGGGCAAGGTCACTGAGGTAGTTAAACAACTCCTTGGTGGCAGAGCCCCTGGTGTTGATGAGGTCCGCCCCGAGTTCCTGAAGGCTCTGGACGTTGTAGGGCTGTCCTGGTTGACACGCCTCTGCAATGTTGCGTGGAGATCAGGGGCAGTACCTGTGGACTGGCAGACCGGGGTGGTGGTCCCCATCTTTAAGAAGGGGGACCGGAGGGTGTGTTCCAACTACAGGGGGATCACACTCCTCAGCCTCCCTGGGAAAGTCTATGCCAGGGTGCTGGAAAGGAGAGTTCGTCCGTTAGTCGAACCTCGGATACAGGAGGAACAATGCGGTTTTCGTCCTGGTCGCGGAACACTGGACCAGCTCTTTATCCTCTCCAGGATACTTGAGGGTTCATGGGAGTTTGCCCAACCAGTCTACATGTGTTTTGTGGACTTGGAGAAGGCATTCGACCGTGTCCCTCGGGGTGTCCTGCGGGAGGTGTTGCGGGAATATGGGGTGTCTGGCCCATTGCTACGGGCCATTCGATCCCTATACAACCGTTGCAAGAGCTTGGTTCGCATTGCCGGCAATAAGTCGGACTCGTTCCTGGTGGGTGATGGGCTCCGCCAGGGCTGCCCTTTGTCTCCGGTTCTGTTCATAATTTTTATGGACAGGATTTCTAGGCGCAGCCAAGTGGCGGAGGGCTTTCGCTTTGGTGGCCTCAGAATCTCATCTCTGATTTTTGCAGATGATGTGGTTCTGTTGGCTTCATCGAGTGAGGGCCTCCAGCTCGCACTGGAACGGTTCGCAGCCGAGTGTGAAGCAGCGGGAATGAGGATCAGCACCTCCAAATCTGAGGCCATGGTTCTCAGCCGGAAAAGGGTGGAGTGCCCACTCCGGGTCGGGGATGAGTTCCTGCCCCAAGTGGAGGAGTTCAAGTATCTCGGGGTTTTGTTTGCGAGTGATGGGAGAAGGGAGCCGGAGATCGACAGACGGATTGGGGCTGCAGCTGCAGTAATGCGGACGCTGCACCGGTCCATCGTGGTGAAGAGGGAGCTGAGTGTAAAAGCGAAGCTCTCAATTTACCGGTCGATCTACGTCCCTACCCTCACCTATGGCCACGAGCTGTGGGTAGTGACCGAAAGAACGAGATCGCGGATACAAGCGGCAGAAATGAGCTTCCTCCGAAGGGTGGCTGGCCTCTCCCTTAGAGATAGGGTGAGAAATTCGGCCATCCGGGAGGGGCTCAGAGTAGAGCCGCTGCTGCTCCACATCGAAAGGAGCCAGCTGAGGTGGTTCGGGCATCTGACAAGGATGCCCCCTGGGCGCCTCCTGGGTGAGGTGTTCCAGGCATGTCCCACCGGGAGGAAGCCGCAGTGCAGACCCAGGACACGCTGGAGAGATTATATCTCTCGGCTGGCCTGGGAACGCCTTGGTGTTCCCCCGGATAAGCTGGAGGAGGTGGCTGGGGAGAGGGAGGTCTGGGCCTCTTTGCTTAGGCTGCTGCCCCCGCGACCCGGCCCCGGACAAAGCGGATGAAGATGGATGGATGGATGGATGGATACTGCAGTACAGTGATTTTCAAAGGCTGGGCCGTGGTCCCCAAATGGGCTGTGAACAAACTTAAAGTAAGGACACTAAGGCTATCGATGCAGACTCCACTCTGCAAACACGCACAGCAGTCTGAAGTTTGAAAATAGCCACTATAGTCAATTACTGTGTAGACAACTTTCTAGATGATATTTACTTTCACCCGTCGGCCGTATCAGCCAAACAGCTTTTACTAGCTACCAGTTTTTAACTGAGAAAATTAGTGGATATGTTGAGTAAGTGGTTCCCTGTTGTACTTACTATAGTTGGTGTGAAGGGTGCCGGCACCTGCCGTTGCTCTAAGGCGTTCCAGTCTGTGCTGCTGAAGAAACTGTGATGTCTGATGTTGCCTTTGGTTCCCAGCCGCTCCTCAGGTTCCCTCACAAACAGCTGAGGCACAAACGCACAGAGGTTTAGCCATAGGGCCCTGAGAGCTATATGTATGCATTTAATGAACATACAGGAAACTACGGAGCCCTGCAGGTCTTAAAAAATTAAGACGGACTTTTGCGAGATCTCGCAAAACTATCTCGGGATCTCGCAAAAGTTTTGCGAGATCTCGCAAAACTATCTCGGGATCTCGCAAAACAAACTTGGGATCTCGCAAAACAAACTCGGGATCTCGCAAAACAAACTCGGGATCTCGCAAAACTTTTGCGCGATCTCGCAAATCAAACTCGGGATCTCGCAAAACTTTTGCGAGATCTCGCAAAAGTTTTAGCCGCATTCTTCCCGTTAGCTCGAAGCTAACGGGAGGTTGAGGCCCACTACAGCCGGGAGGAACACCGCTTTCCCGGCACATCGTGCCTCGAACTCCCGGTCGGCTTCAAGCCGGCATCCGAAGAATGCGGCTAAAAGTTTTGCGAGATCTCGCAAAACTTTTGCGAGATCCCGAGTTTGTTTTGTGAGATCTCGCAAAACTTTTGCGAGATCCCAAGTTAGTTTTGCGAGATCTCGCAAAAGTCCGTCTTAATTTTTTTTCTCCCATGTCCCCTGCGGGGCTCCGTAGGAAACAGTAAGAATCAGTTTCATCAATTTAAAGACCAGATCCTTGCTTTCTTTTCTTCCTGCTTGATCTTATTTAAACTGGCCACTGAAGCACTTGTCTGACCTTGATGAGTATGTCCTTTGCAGCTTTGCTGAGCCAGTTGGGATAAATGGGGGTGTCTGTCCGTATGGACTGAAACAGCTCCTCTTCATCGCGGCCGTGGAACGGAGACTGACCGATCAGCATCTCGTACAGCAGCACTCCGAATGACCACCAATCCACAGAGCTGTTGTACTTCTGACCCAGCAGGATCTGATACATAAAGATCACACAAACTGGTAAAATGAACAAGTTAAAGTGTGGGTTTTTCTTATTTTCTGTCATGCGCGTACTGTTACAGTGGCAGATGTTCACATTTAAATGGCCAGAGTTTTAAAGAATGAGGTCAATAACGTTTGAAAATAAGTCCTTATCAGTCAGATCTTGGGTTTCAGATTGCTCTAGATGTCAAACTAATTTTACGTCCTTGGTCACAGACAGCCCACTGTGATCTTTAAGCGGGCTAGACCAAGGAAACTCCCCTTTTCTGTCTGTGTAAATAAGTCTAACCACACACTAATTGCCTTAGATATCTTTGTATATAAAAAAGAAGTGTAATTTTAGTATATCTCAGTTTTTTCTATATGACAGAGAAATGCTGCAGTATCTGTCAGCACGACTTTTTGGGACTGATTTGTAATTAAATAATGTGTAAAACTGCAGAAAAAGTAGCTCACTGCCCAGAATATCCTGTAATAATAATAATAATAATAATAATTAAAAAAAAAATAAGGTGATTGTGGTAAAAATGTTTTTGTTGTTGATCTATTGCTTTGTTACGCTGGAGTAGTGGGGGAGGTCTTTATCAGCAGGAAAATCTGTAAAACTTGCAAATACTGTTAAAAGTCCAAAATGCATGTGCTCATTCACATTTTCCGAAACTGTCTAGTGAGCTGGATTTAATCTTTTTGTGGCTGATTCTGGTCCCTGGGGCCATATGTTTGACACCTCTGTCCTAGATTATCAGCTTACAGTTTTTTTCTACTCTTTAATATTTTAAAATGTGGTTTAACTTGTTATTTTAAAGGGGCAGTTTAGAGGCTTATTTCACTCATTGGCTGCACAATAGCCTGTATAAGAAAAGCTACTCTAACAGAGTCCAAATATAAATGTACAGACCTAGCATCAAAAGCCCTCTTTGAGACGTCTCTAGAATTTAGACCTTTATGCGTATCACTTGGTGGCCAGCTGTTGCTGATTGATTCTTTTATTCAAAAGGATACCAGTTTATTACAACATTTACATTACTACAGCATGCAAAAGATGTCACCTCTGGGGCGATGTAGTCTGGGGTCCCGCAGAAGGTAGAGGTCCGTACGTCATCCTGCATGTTCTCCTTACACATGCCAAAGTCTGCTATCTTTATATGACCATCTAAGTCCAGCAGCACGTTGTCCAGTTTCAGATCTCTGCAGAGGTGGAAGAAAATGATTCCTCTTGGACTATATATTACGTCATGAATTCCAGTCCTGTTTCTGGCTCTCACTGAGCGCCTACCTGTAAATAATTCCTTTAGAGTGCAGAAACTGGAGCCCACAGATGATCTCAGCTGCATAGAAGCTGTAAAGAGACACAGATGTATGTGAGAAGAGAGGATAAAATTCACAGGAGTGATCAGATTTAGGCCAAACTAGGTCAATCTAGTTGAAATTCTGAAATAGACAAACCAAAAAAATCAACAAACTTAAAAGACAATTATGTCACAGAAATAAGGATCACATGTCGACTGTATATAGAAATTAACATGAGCACCATAAAAATCCCCATAAGAGACTGTAAGTTTGAAGCCTGAGGGGGGCCTTAGCTTCTGGGGTAGTCATTTTTCCAGGACTGATAGCCATGCTTTACTAATGCAGATAGATTTAAAAAAAAATAACCGGTGGCTTCCAGATTGTATATCTGTAAGCCCCTTTATTTGCTCTCTACACAGACTATTTACCCACGTGTAACTAAAGGATGCTAAAATGTAGAATTTGCACTAAAAATGAAAACCACTGGCAATCTATAGATAACTGCAGATAATATGTTTATAGAGATTAGATCTATTAAAACCTAATGTGACGAACAAGAAAACAAGACCAAGAAACCAAGGACAATGCACGGCCATTTGGTAGCGAATTCTCAATCCCAAGTGGTTACTTGTACTTCAGTGGTTAGACGCACTCTAACCACTGAAGTACACCAGATGTTTGTCTGACGCATGTCTCAGTCCTGCATCAAGTCACACCACAGGCATGTCAGAAGCAGAACATTTAGTCTGCATTGGGTATTTTATTTTGAAAATTGACCACATTCTCCATGCTGCTTTTATATCTGACTTCCTGCCCCCGTCGCCTACTCTGTGTAGCAGCTTCTGGGATGCTTACAAATGTGGCGTCGGGTGTATTCAGGGGTCAATCAACTCTTGCTTTGTTGTCTATTTTCCACTAAGTTGGACTGTAATTTCCTAAATGAGTGTCATTTTTCTATTAAATATGATGTGAAACTAGTGATGGAAACCAAAAACTCAATTAGAAAATAGTTTACTGAGGTATATGGATGTTTTTTTTGCCCCCATGCTGGTAATGATTAATCATGCAGGTTAAAGGCACATCTGCAGTGAAGGCACTTTTCAAACCTGGCGGTTACATCCAGACCCAAACAGTGCAAAACTACAGTTGTGTGTCACTGTGAGAGCTGCGTCTTTTGACTCACGTGGCTCTGTGCAAGTCAAACTTGTGGCAGTTTTGGATGTGGAACATAAGATCCCCTCCATTCAGATACTCCATGACGAAGAACAGGTTTTCCTGGATGCGAAAACACAGAGGTTAGGGCTATATTTGTTTCCAGAGAATTATTTTCAGTGGCTACCTACTTGCATGCAATGACTGTGCAAGTGTACATGGGTCATCACCTTAGTTTGGAAGGTGCAGTAAAGATGTGTAAGGAAGGGATTTTCCCAGGCTAGAGACAAAACCCTCCTCTCTACCATGGTGCACTCAACATCATCATCCATCAGCACCACGTCTTTCTTCAGAGCTTTTACTGCAAAAAATTCACCGCTCCTTTTCAGCTCTGCTAGAAACACCTGGAGAAGACGAAGGACAAATAAAAAGCTTTAAAAAACAGGTTTAGTTTGGACATATAGAGTTGTAGCCTGTTGCCCAGTCATTTACCATAGCTAGCTCTTTGTGTTGCAAGACTTTGAAGTAACAAGAAGTAGGTGGTTTTCAGTGGAAACTGGCTGCACAACACATTTGACCACAAGCCTCAGAGTGCTGTGTAAAGCCCTCCGTGCTGTGTGAAGCTGCTGGCAAGAATGACTAAAATATGATGCTTTGACACATTTGCAGAAAACGCCCCCCCCCACTGTGTTCTTATAGAAATTCCACTAAGAAAAGGGTAATAATTAGTTTTTGTTGCATGCAGTTTTTAAGGGAAGGGAGTGTGTAATCACTTCTGTTTGTTTGTCTCTTTGTTAGCAGTTAAGCATCCACAGTTTTCAAGATATCATGTTTAATTTTTTTGTGATGGTAGATACCAAAAACAGCTCGGGCACATTCAGTTTTGATGAAAAGGTCAAGATCACACCAAATGTGAATGTCAGTGAAAACTTTAAACCATGTCAAGTAATATATCATATGAAAGAACATGTGGAGAGCTGTAAAACAAATTTTACATTTTAATACGACGCCCTATGATGTCACAATAATGCCATAAAGTTCACAAATTCACACACTGCACCAAAATATCTTAAAACCTCACGCTTGTAGATGATTTCAGCAAATTCTGCTCCACTTATATGGGTAAAGATAATACACCATTTTAGTATGTAATACTCCAAGGTCATAGGTCAAAGATCAGACATCTGCATGTTGTAATAAAAGGTTTTTCTACAGCCATTGCCCTTCGGGGGAGTTGTGCAACTTTGAATGCTCTTGTTAATATGTTGATATATAAAGTAACATGACAAAGATGCCACATCTTCATGCATGCTCTGCTCCGTGCTTTACTTTTCCTCTTTTGAATCAGGTCGCCTCTGCTACCTTGCCAAAGCTGCCTTTCCCGAGCATCTTGTGCAGGGTGAAGTCGTCGATGGTAAATTTGGGTTGGTGATCTTTCCTCGGGACAGCGTACAGAGGCTCTTCTGGAAGCACCTCGCTGACCGACCTGCTGACATCTCCTGGTCCCTCCCATGAAACACCCTGATAATCTGCTACAAGAAGCAGGTTGAGAAACACAAATGACATAAAGTATGCAGTATGTATCCCTGCCTAACGGAAAGGAACATTTTAGAAGTTGCATACCTTTGCTTGCAGGTGTAGCTGTGGCTGGTAAACCCATAACTAGCCCGGATGGTGCTCGCACCACTCCCGGCTGGGCAACACTTACTGGACCTTCCCGACCAATAATGTCACTGTCTCTGGTACTTCTCGCCTTAAAGCAAAAGGTAGATCCAGTTTCAAAATGAAGTTTTCCACAGTAAAATATTCCTTAATTACTAGTATTAAAGGGGACAATTATGTTCTCTTATTTGCTTTACTTTTTCTTATGTTATCTAGTGTTACACAGTCTTATGTTAGATCTTCTCATTAAACAAAGTTTCATATAATGAAGTCTTCCTGTTAGAGGTGCATGATGTCACAGAGATGGAATATCTCGTGCTATTCAAGTCTTCTCTTTGCAAGGAGCAATCAGAAAGTTGGCTTAAAGGAGGAGAAGTTAAAACTTCTAATCAAGGATGAATTAAGGTGCATCACCAAAACTCAGTATCAGATCAATTGGGATTGGTAAAGGAGGAGCCAGGGATCGAGCCATCGACCTTCCGATCAGTAGGGTAACCTGCTCTACCTCCTGAGCTGCAGTCACCCCCAGATTATTTCATCAGATTATTTAATCATGCAAAGTTAGCTTCATGTACCGAAGGTTTGTTGGTCTCACCTGCTGCTTGCTCTCGATGACTGCCAGAGCTTCAGCCATCAGTTTCTGGTTGACCCCGCAGAGGTTAGCCACTTTCTTTTGGCATTTATGGTGGACGTTCATGCTGCATTCTGCACAACATCAAACACAATGTAAACTCAGTTGAACACATAAAGAACATTTAAAGCAGTGCAAGATGGCAATATTTACACTATTATTAGTTATGCAAAAGGTAATGTATCAGCTTTTACTTCAGAATGGGGCAATATTAAAATTTATAATGACAATGACAGAAAAAAGCACTTATATGTAAAAAATGTTGCTAAAGAGTCCAATTTCTTTTTCACTTGATACCTTTTTTTCATGTCACACGTTCTTTAATGTTTGCACATGTTCCTTATATAACTGTGCTGTTTCTTAGCAAACTCTCACACATCTACAATAATAATGTTTCCCATTCCTAACCCCTCAGTCAGCTGGCTTGTACTGGAAATATGATTAATTTCACAGGGAGAACTTTATACTTTGCACCTGCTGTGGCAGCTGTGCTGTGTTTCTGTTCAACAGGCCAACACATGCAGCGCATATTTATGCTGGGAAAGGTTTGAACGCCCACTGTTGTCTCAGCTACTGGAAATATATTGAGTAATGCTGTGGATTAAATGATCATATCTATGTGGTGAAAACCATGTTTTATCAAATTTTGTCAAGTTGAATTTTTCAGATCAAGGTAAGGGAGCTCCATAGTTTGCTTGCTGCATGTGTTTCAGAGTGTGTTGATGGTGTTGTGAAGGAGTAATATAGCTGTGCCGAACCAAGAAACCCTTTCGTGGTAACCTGTGAAAGCCACTGCTGCAAAATTCTTTGACGAATGACTCTTTCTTCCTCGATGATTCGGGCCTTAAAAGTCCAAAATAAGGAAACATTTGCAATGCAGCGTAAGCCATTTAAAACCCACAGATATCTGCATAATGTTGTCTAGAACATTTAATCTTTTGGCAAAGGGGTTTCCCTGCTGCTCGGCGGTATCTGATCAACTGTGCTGAAAGGCAGCTCCCAGAAAAACGGGACTAATTTTAGAGTGAAGAATTAAAAGACTGAATACCACAGAGCTTGTAACTTCAGTCAAAACTGTGCCATTTTAATTTGCTTTTTGTCACTTAGTCTTGTGTCTGAAAACACAATTTTTGGTAAAGAAGTCAAAATACCTTCATCCAACTAATCCCACATAACCACTCCTCTGTCAAACACACTCAACTGTATAACGAAGCACAAGAAGTTTGGAGGAAATGACATCTGTAAGAATGCCATGACTGGGCCAACCTGACCGAGATCGTACCATTAGGATGCTGGAGCAGGGCGTTGCCGGAGCAATGAGTCCTCTAGACTCAGCTGAGCTATAGTGCTTTATTTTGAATGATCCATCCATGCAACCAAGTCCAGGCTGCCTTAAATTCTTCCAGGGGGAGACACTGACACATTCCCAAACCAGCCTGACCGTGTCCTGGACCGCTGCAGGGTCTCTTCCCAGTATAACATTCCTGAAACGCCTCACGTAGGAGGGGAACAGGAGGCACCCTGGCCAGACGCTTGAACCACCTCAACTGGCTCCTTTTGATGTGGAGGAGTAGAGGCTCTACTCTTAAACGACCATCAGTCTTAGTCTTTAACGGTACGCCAGCATCAGTTTTCCTTAACTCTTAAACCAGGACCTTTCAGTTCCTAAACTGAGCTAGAAATAAATTTAATGGCGTAGTGTTGCGTTATGAAAAATTTCTGTTATGACACTGTATGTGTGGCTTTATGTCTGTGATGTCACTGCTGTGTTTTGTCTTACCCTGCAGACATTAAAAAAAAAGTATAAAATCACACAAAACAAACAAACCAAAACAAAAAACTCCCGCCTCTCACCCTCACATTTGAGCCCCTGCTTGGCGAGCCCCCACAGCAGAGTCCCGCAGTGCTCGCAGAAGGTGGGACTTTTGTAGTTGTAGACTTTAAACCTGTGAGGCATGTCGATCTTGAAGCGCTCCTTGTGGATCTAAAAACACATCGCACACAGATTGACACGGAAGGCGTCAGTAACCAAACACCTCTCATATGTAAACGGCGAGATTTATTTATTGGCGTTAAATTCTCTCATGCTTTCGTACACATGAACTCTCGCTGACATGGAGCTGAGGAGAAGTGAAACGAGGGGGAGAAGATGACATGAGACCAGAGCGCCTGGTGTGGTGATACCTTGGCACAAAGCAACTCTTTCATTAGTAAGCATCAGAACCATCAGCTCACACACTTCGCTCTGTGTCACCACTTGTGGAATTTCTGTCGGACTGGAAGAGATGTGCAGCGTCATGAAGCAAATCATGTGAAGCAGACACTCACCATTGTTTCCTTGCTGTTTATGGCTGAACCAGTGCATTTGGCGATAACTTTGTCTATGCATTTTTTGTGGATTGCTGCATTACACTCTAAAAGACAGAGAATAACCACGTGAGGAAGAGTTACGAAGGCTAATTGGTAGATTACAGGACAATGAACCGACACTCACGTCTGCACTGGTAACCCTGCTTGTTAAGACCCCTGCAGTGGAAAGAAAGAGAGATGAAATGACTGATACGATTGGGAAAAAAACAAGACTAATGTGAAGATTTGTGACTTCTTGGTCTTTTGCATACCAAACAAACTCTTTGCATACAGAGCAGAAGGTTGGCTGAGGAAAGAACGTCGCGCTGAACTCATGACACTTGACCACGTGAACTTTGGCCTGCTTTATGGCGCCGCGTCGCTGGTGGAGGGTGAACAGACCCTCTCTCTCACGCTCGGACTCCGGGTCTCCGTCTGTGTGACCCACAGCATCTGAAACACGTATTACAACTTTAATTTCAAAGAAGAAAAATAAAACAATGGAAAAAGGTACAGTTTTATTCGGCTTCTGTGGACAGAGTGGTGAGACGCCGCTAAGAACACAGGATTTCACAGCAAAGTTTCAATTTCTCACCTCCTGAGATGTGTTTCTTACTAACAGCAGATTTTATGTTGAAAATAAATCTTTCCTTTTCAGCATTAAAAGCCTAGATTTCTTTCATTAAAGCTTCTTTCACTTACACTCATGTTACAAGGGGTCGCCACAGCAGACAGCCTCACCTATCTGAGTTGACATTAGCTTTGGTTGAAAATTAATTTCATGTTGAATTTTTTAAAATTTCACCTCAGTTGACTGATTATACAATTTGTGTTTATGAACAGCTGAGTAGGAACAGCTGTTTTAGTAGCTTGTGAATGCAGATTGTGGACGTTATGTGTTTGGTTTACACCGGTTGTTGTTTGCAAACTAACTTTTGGGTTTGGGTCAGGAAAAGACTTGGTTTGGTTAGCTAGCAGCCTTCTGTGGTCACCTGAAGTTTGCGTGCAAGATGCTGACTTGCCGGCATGCACCTGACCACTACTCCACTAAATGCTAGTCAAGGTGTGAAAAGTGCAATGCAAGCTGGACCTTTCACCTACATTTGCATTTTTTGAAGCATGCTGGTCGCTGTGAGCGAAACACGTTCTGTTTCCGATTTGTGTCTTGTTCAAGTTTCACTGCTGCTCGGTGCTCAGTTTGTGAGTGTTTGTTTATTGTCCAGTTAATCTTTACTTTAGTTTTTATTAACAACATCGGAGAAGCGGGCTGGACATTGTTTCCAGGGAATACATTTCATGTTTAAGAATTCTTTTAAATCTTTTTAGCGATTACAAAAAAAAGAAGTGTTACAGAAAACATTCGTCGAGGGAAGAGTTACAAACGTCCTCCTCTGAGATGCGTTTCTCAGAGTAAATGGCTTCAAACTGTTGCTTATATTTAAAAAACTGGTTCTGGTGATCAGTCTGTGCACATGGACAGGACACTGTATTAACAGTCAATGAGTGAGCAAATTAGTTGCAAATAAAATTGTTGTTGGATTAAAAAAACAAAAAATGTGCATTAATTTCTTTGTTATCAATAAATCTGTTATTTTTTTTGCTTTGTAATCGCTGATCTGTTGGGACCTCTGTTGTCTTTTCCACTCAGCTTGTGTTGCAGTTTCTACTGTCATCACCCATCATAGTGTTTGGTATTAGATCAAGCACAGTCATCATGTATGACTAAAAACTGACTGACCAAAGCTCAGTATGACTTTCATGTGTTCTAAGAGAGCAAACATGCAGAAAATGATCCTAAAATGTTGAATTATTCCTTTAAAACTGCTTTAAACACTGCATGTGACTTTGAATCAGCTCAAAATGTTAAATTTCTATCATTATCCTTCAGTTAGAGACAGGAAGACACCAGTATGTGTTTGCTCGTTGGAGGAAGTGTACCCATCACTATGCCACCTGTTGTTCCCTGCAGTGATTTCCTGTTTGCTTGGTCTATATTTACAGACACACGAGACAGCTTATTACTTCTGAGTCTCAGTGCTTGGCATGGTGTTAATGTCAGGAAGGCACCAGTGAAAGCACAAAGCGCCCGCACAACCAGCTTACAGCCAGCAGGGGGCAGACGGTCAAAACTCTTATTTTTAGCTTAAGAAAATCTAATTATGATGAGACACTTACGGGTGCGCCTTCGACAATGAACATTCACAGTCACTTTTCTGTATTTTTACACCTACTTGATTATTAATAATCCTCTAGGACACAGTAGCTGGCTGCCAGCTACTTGTCTGGCCGCACAAAAGTGATGAGCACGCCACTTTCGGCATTTATACAGGAATCTCATTAATACTGAGAATAGAAAGGGAAAAACAGGGTAAGACAGAAGTTAAAACAACAAAACATAAATCAACTGGTTTCTGTATTTTTAACACACCTGCCTATTTACTCATAAAAACCTTCAAATAAATACTAATTTAGTGCATATTAAAGTTTAGCGGACCTATGTGCATAATTCTAGAAGTGAAGCTGATCAACTCTGAGGAGCACATAAAGAGGGACCAGGTGAGAATTTCACAATAATGCAAGAAGGCTCTCTGTGAATTCAGTTTATTTTAAAATGATCATTCTCATTGTTTCTAATTTTATATTATCACGTCACTCTTACATTCAGACAAGCAAAGACTAAAAAGGTGAGTTTTTTCTGATATCAGGCTCCTTTTAGGTCTTTCATGATCAAACTTACCTGTCACTTTTTTTATACAAAAGTTGGTGCTCTGACACACACAACAGCCGGTAAACGGTAACTGTCCCTTTTTAGAGACCTACACAGCTGACAGAGGCGTAATTTACAGGTTTAATAGCCAGGAGACTTTGTCTCGTGTCCCACAGGCACCCTTTGTTTTCCACTTTCCTTGCTTTTTGTTGTGGTTAATTACAGAATAATGCTGACATAAATGGAAAAAATATGCAATTAACTTTTGGTTTTCAAAATAATAGATATTTTTCAGGGTAACATGTTAAAATGATTTGATTTTGTTGTTATTCTTCCTCGTGGATCATAGAAGGAACGGTGTGAACAGGTTTTAGACTGGGATTTGGCAGGTGGGGGTACATTAACAGTCTGTACAGACTGTGATCAGCTGTTCTGTGATGCTACACCCAAGCTCAATGCTCTTTGTGGATATAACCAACTGAATTCAACAAGATATAAGCAGATGTTACAGAAGCTATATGGCTGATTTCCAGCCCGTAGAGACGAGTGAGCTCGTGCAGCAGTCTGGAGCCATCTTTCATTTTGTATATTTTGCTATGAAAACGGGAAATAGGTGTAGAGATTTACTGAAATGTGTGTAAACCTACACGGCAACACAGTGTAATAGGAAAACAGTTTTTAAAATGTTAACAAGCGTTAACAAGTTTTTTTTAATGCAGGTGTGTTTTTACTGCATTGGCAGTGTGTTAGGGACTATTGTCAAGCTGAAAAATGAAGCTGTTGCCAATCAGACACTTTCCAGGTGGTACTGCATGGTCAAGTTACAAGGATTGGACTGAAAAAGAGTGAAAAAGTAGCTAAAGACCAACTTTGGAAGACCTTCAGAAATACTACAGATCAATCACTCAAAACAATATAAAAAAATCACAAAAAAGTTTGGCTTGTTGGAAAAGATCAAGAAATGAAGGGTGGCTCAAAATTTTGCACAAGACTGTATAAACTGTAGAGTTCAGAGACTGAATCTAATCAGCTTGACGTCTGCTACCCTTAATGTAACCAGTCCAACATAGTGCATCACTGCAAGCTTTACCACAATACCACAAACTAACACGTGTAGCGTGCGCTAAACAGTTTCCATGCAACCACTGAATAACAAAAAAATAGTAGAACTTCTTCTGCAAGAAACTTCTATTTTTTTAATGAAAACAAAATTCAGCAGCACATGATTAATACATCCAGTATCTCAGTATTTAAATCTGGTACGGTCTCCATCAATCATGCAGGATTTACATTTCCCATTTATAAACTTTCACTTGCTGAGCAGTCCTCATTTCTGAAAATAATCTTGTATCTTACTCTTCCTTCCTCTCTTTCTTATATGCTTTTCCTTCCTTCAGTGTTGCACATTAATTTTTTCTCTCTCTCTAGGAAGTAAAGCATCGCTGTCTTTAGCTTACAGACACATTGCTGTGTGGAAAACTGCACAAAAACAGTTTATCGGCTGATATTTGTTGAGCTGTTTGAAAAGTCGCAAGCTCCATTAATGCTCACGGCTCTGCTTCTTCTGCCACTAGTGAGATTCTTTGATACTGCGACCACAATCTTGCCTCTCCACTATGAAGGCATCACAGGGATAACACAAACCATGACCTTTACGTGTAAGCGGTCCTGAGATGCCATTAATTTCATGCACTAGGTTGCTTATTAGCTATAATTAACCATGATTTGAAGGGATTCCCATTTTAAACCCTGCATAATACAGATGTGGGCATCTATAAGCACTGAGCCTGTTAAGTCATTAGTTGGCACGCAGTTTGAACACACTGTCTCTGTAACGACAGACGACTGACTATGTAAAACCTTTTTTGCTTCCACTCACCTGTTAGATTCAGAAACTAAAAACTAGAGTCAGGAAAAGGTCACAATTTAAAATTGGTCTCTTCACACCCCGCTTACTGACAAAAGATGAGCTAGTAGTGACCATACTCACCACAACTGATATAATCCAGCGTGTCGGGGCAGACGCTTAAGGACAGGTTGTGTAAACAAACCACACTAGCGGTTTTGACAAACGGGCACTAATTGCCCCAGGGGTGAGGATGAGATGTTTCGCATCACTTATAGATTAGTCAGATTTTGAAATCCCTGGACTTTAAGGGCTGAAATGGTTTTTCTTCCCGTGTTTAAATCTTTCTACACAGTCGAACCACGTCACATGTAAATCTGAGTTTAAGCATTAAACCCACAGGCGACAATACTAGGCAAGACTTCTAAAGCTCGTCCTTTGTGCTTCTGGTTTCTCTGTCCTGTCTTGTTAGTGCACAACACCAGAGGAGTTGCTGTTAGGCTGCTTCCTGAGACTACAGCACTGTGTGTGTGCCAGAGACAATTATGTAAACCACATAAGAACAAGTGGCTCTCACTGTAATTTTATCAGATTTTGTGAGGCAGTTCTTCTTATTTGGCTGCGAATTCAGTAAATAACTACCGAGGGGCAGCAAGCTGAGGTTTGAAGGTCTGATTCACTCACCACTTTTCTCCAGATAATATCTAGCCTCCATGAGCATGCGTCCCTGCGGCTTCAGCTCCAACTGAGAGAAAAAGAAACGAAGAACAAAGGGAGACAGAAACACACAAAAAGAGATATTTTAGGAAAGAAATTCATGAGAAAATGACAAAATGAAAAGGGAAGGATGTGAATTCAGGAGGATGATGCATATACGTCATGCTCCTTAGAGGCAGTGACACATGCAGACAGTCTGGCAACAACACACACGCATAAAGAACAGGCTGAAGGAGCGTATTTGATTAGTTTGGTTTAAGAGATCATGCCGTGAAATGTTGTGTAGTGCCACTCACAACCGAGTCTGTCCAGGAAGTGATCTCTTGCTCTCTCTAACAAAAAAAAACTCAGCAGATTTCACCGAATGACCTGCATCTAATTAAAAGAACAGCTTAGCCCAAATCCATGGCCCCAAAACAATCAGCAAATCTTATGTTGGACAGTTTCTTGGAGGAACTATTTTCTTTCTAGTTAACTACAGAAGTACAAGACGTAGGGGCGCATCTACCCGTGAAAAAAAGCATCATGCTTGTGACAGCTGTGACGAGATGAAGACATTAATGAAGTCCTGCCTCGGCTGAGCTGTAATGTTAGTTCTTCACGCTTCCTTTGGTTGGCAGATGTAGTACTCAGCTAAACAAAAGAGTCTATTTGGATACAAGCCTGCGGGAAAATCAAGCAGCAACCTTGGGGAAAAAAGACACACGTATGTAAAAAGAACAAAAACAAAAAAAACCACCTAAGCGGTCCCTCTAATGGCCACTTGAGGCTCACTCCAAAAGTGAGCCAGTCTCCATATCATCTATTGATGGTTTCTTTCTTTATAAAAACTGCACAGATGGTGACTTCTTTTTTATAACTCAGTCATTTGGATGCTGTTAAATCTTAAACTTTGGGGTGCAGCATCTTTGAATGACAGGTGCGTGTCAACAGCATGGTGTTGCGTCCCAGGCCACACCTCAGCGAATTCAGGTTGATGCAATTGGGGAAATGAAATAAAACTATCTCACAAATAACATGGCTCCAGCAAGGTTTTGTTTGGTGAAAAATTATAATTCATATTAATCCCACTTAAGCGTCAATTACATGACCTCTCAGCAACCAAGTAGTGAAAAATTCAACCAGTTGTTGTGAGAGTTTGGCTGCTGTTGCTAGGTAAAATTGGTCACAGCAAGGTACATTTTGTGTTTATATTGGCCACTAGTAGATTGCAGCAGTGCCCAAAGTTTGGTGGCTTCTCTGTAAACTGTTGCTAAACTTTGAAGAGTGTGATGCAAACCAGAAACTGAGACCATTCACGTTCAAAGTAAAGCCTGCACCCCTTTGAACCATGTTGGTTTTTGCAATATGAAACAACTTTTACTTTGAAGGTGAACAGTCTTCATTTGGGTTTTTTTCAGGTTTCTCTACTACTCAGTGATTAGTTAGCAAGTGTTTGCAGACAAGTTGGTGTCGTCCATGCAGACTATGGATGACTGTGCCCAAGGAGACTCTTTTCAACTGATTTCACCAAAAACATCAACTTCCAACAACCACATGCAAACTGGTCAGGAAACACACATTTTTTCCTAACAACTGGAGGCTGCCCCTGAGTAGGTTACTGAATTGTCTCTAGGCCTGTGTGGCCAAGGGATGGGCAAGTTTATGGATACAGTTTGCTAACCAAGCTAGCTGTGTTAGTTGATAATATAGCACTTTCTCCTCTTGGTCAAGTATAGATGCTTCTGGCTTAACCCCCCCCCCCCAAAAAAAAACAAAACAAAAAAAACAACAACAAAAAACAACTCACCTATGACCCAAACACAAAGCTAACAAAAAGCAGCATTCAGGAACCAACGGATAATGTGATGGTGGATTATATCAGTCATATATCTATATATAGTCTACAGTAGAAACCTGTAAACATTTCCCAAGAGATTAAACCTGTTAATGTTTTCCATAAAAGAAGCTGGATTTTGCTGCATGATAAGGGTTTATTTCTTATAATGATACCATTGTGATGTAGCCTTCTTTTCTCATATTGAGAGCAGTTATGATGCCAATAATTATGTCACAATCATAATATGATCCAGAAAGGTTAATAAAAATGTAATAATATCTGTGGTAATTAGTTAAAAACACTGAAGTTGTGCTGGGTGTTGATTGTAAGACGATCTGTGTTTCATATCATAAGAAAATAACGGTTGTAATAAAACAGAAATAAAAGGATTTTCTTGTTTGGCTTTCTGTTTAGACATGATATAAAATAATCTAAATGAGTTACCATGAAAATATGGGACAACTTTGTTCTCAGTACGTTGAAACGGTCACAGCAGGAGAAGCACAGATGTTGCTTGTTGATGGTGTTGTGTGCACTGGCTCTTTGACTTTGCTTACTAGGACGTGGATTAGAGCCATCATTAAAGTAATTAATTTAACCGAGGCTTCTTTTGCTATGATCTAAAAGCCGTTAGTGTTTTGGTTTCAGTGCATATGATGATGCTTATTACAAAAAAACCTCTTATTTTTTTAATAATTTAAAGGAGGATTACCCCTTTAAACGCATCTGCACATCTGGATTTCTTTTTGCTTGCGTAACTAAACAGCTGGTCTGTCACTTCAAACAAGCGCACGCATCAATCCATCCTGATGCACTAACCCAAATCTCCAGCTTGCCGTTCTCCTTTTTGCACCGTGTTGCCAGCGAGTCCAGAGCTACCGTGGCCTCAGACTTGAGCTCGGCTGTCCGGTCTTTTACCATCACATGCATGATGCGCCCGCGGTGGACGTGGGCATCGAATGTGGTGCTCCAGGGCGGATACATGGTGGGCTTCTTCTGCTTGTACACTTGACCCTTCTCTGTAACGAAAAAAAAAGAAATAAAGTCCACTTCTTTATAGGTAGGACATGAGATAAAATTGACTCTTATTTCATTGCACAGAAGTCTTTTTGACAGCAGAAATCACTTCATAGTCCACACCACAGAGCTCCAGTGTTGTCAAGAAACTATTAAAGAAACAGATACATGAAGCACACTTCTACACACACTCCTAAGGATATTTCGACTCTATCCTCCACGCACTGTCCTGCTTCCAGAAATACTGACTACATTTACTCTTGTTTGAGCAGATAAAAAGCAAACAGCGCTCAGCTGTTGGTGTATTGCTCAGCTTCATTTTCAAAATGAAAAATTAGTTATTTGTAGATTTTGCAAACACCTACATTTTCAATTGGAATAAGTGGCTGCATGTTTCTGAGAATGAGAATGAGAAAGGTGGAAAGCATTAGGTAGATGTCTGCCAGGTGACAGACTGAATTTTTATCCATTTGCTCATGATGTGACATTTGATCAACATTTACTTTTAAAATATTGTGTGGCATACAGTTTTCCAAAGTCTGGCTTTTATCCAAAAGAGTACCACAAGCATAACTCCTAAACATCCAGAACTGAGTTAGCATTATTTGCTATGAATTACTTACAACATCACAATGAATTTTTTTTATTTTTTTTTTTAGCTAGAAGACTGAAATACAGTCTCTGGTTATTACATGTTTTACATGATTTGTTCTGCAGCCTCTTATGAAGTACCCCACTCATTATCTTTGAAGCTAGTTGGTGAAGTCCCACAAAATGTGGTTGCTAACAAGTGGCTAAATGGTTCTGATGAAGTTGTTGGGAAAATTTACAGTTACGTAGGTGAACATGGGAACTTTGCAGGGGTGGTGTTTTTGTTTACAGCCCACTGTTAGTGTTTTGCTTCTTGCAATTGCATTCATGCTTCAAAAAACATAAAAGAGACACCTGTTCATCGAGGCTATCTTGCTCAAATCTCATTAGCTTTTAGCCAAGGAAGTGGGGTGATGCTAACTTCCAGTTTGACCTACAAAATAAAAGTCATGCCTGCAGCACTTTAGAACATCTGCTGGGAATGATGACATTGCGTGTCAGGGACAGGTTAACCTGTCTTTTGCTACCTACACTTCGACCACTAGAGAAAATGTCATCACAAAATCACAAGCTCTGGAGATTTTGTCCCATAACAAATTTGAAAATACCACAAAGAAAAGAAAACACTGCTGTTTTTGACTGTTTTAACCATTACAGACACTGAAAAAGGAAATTAATAAGTTAATCTTAAGTGGTCTGGACAATTAAAACTCTTGTATTTGTCAGTGTAGAGAGATTTAACTACATATTTTATTCCCGAGATATTTAATTATAAGAAAAAGTGCAATTTAAACATTACATCTCAGTTTACAAAAAGAGGTGCTTTGAGCTTGAATTGGAAAAAAATAAATGTCTAACATTACAGAAAAAAACTCATCAAAAGCTCATTGCACATTCTGCCCTTTAATTATAAAATGTAAAATTCTAGTTAATTGACAGAAATTCTTTTTTCAAAAACTTTGGGCCCACTGCGAAAAATCACAAGTTTCTACAGTAGACAGTGAAAAAACAAAAAATGTTATTTATTTGTTTATGTATCAAGCTGCTCTTTAAAGCCAGATTCATGACCTTCTTTGATCCCATGTGCTTGTTAGTGCTGTTAGACATTGCACTATGTTTGAATATTTGACCACCCAGCAAGCAGATTATATCATCATTCAGAGGGCCCGGTGGCGCCAGTGTCCGGCAGCCTCGCCTCTGTCAGTGCGCCCCAGGGCGGCTGTGGCTACACTGTAGCTTGCCATCACCAGTGTGTGAATGTGTGTGTGAATGGGTGGATGACTGAATGTAGTGTGAAGCGCTTTGGGGTCCTTAGGACCAAGTAAAGCGCTATACAAATACAGACCATCTACCATTCACTCTGAATGTTGACAGATTTTCAATTGCATCATATGGCTGGGAGGGAAAGAAAGCCTTTGTAATTCACATCTGCTGATTTTTCTCTGCAATAACATCTCATACATCCACTTACATAAGAGCCACATGCTATCCTGCTGCTTCAACAATAAAGCCCTCTAAGCTTTTTACTCCCAAAGTGAGCCGCTGCCTTCTCCATCTCATCGGCTCATTGCCTTTCTGTCCATCGCCTTTGCCAGCTGCTGTCAGAGCTGATTAAAGCACAAAGAGAGGAAAATTTGTGTTTGTCTCCCCAGACGCACAGGATTTATCAGACGGTGTCTTTTTTATTTTAAAGGTTTCCTTGCAGCATTAAGCAAAGAGCATGGTGATGTTTTGGCTCCATGCAGTTGTCAGTCTGTGTTCTTTGAAAAAGCACAAAGTGCTATTTAGAGTTTGTGCTCTCATGTCTTCGCTCTTTTGAAGGGGCTTACATTTCCCTCTCTGTATATACTGTCGGTAAAAACGCACAGAAACACTGAATGGGACAATGAGAAAGAAATCCATCCAATAAAGCAAATCTGTCTGCTGTGTTTGAGCTTCAGATCCCTGGCTCATCAGGTTTGCCTCATTTGAATAAAATTCTAAAGTGGAATTCACTAAAAATGATTCGCTGTTTGAACGACCTGTTGAGTTTTCATGAATACATGTCTCGCTGTCAGCGTAGTTTGTGAAAAGCAAAACCAACAATGAGCTGATTTAACTAACCAGTACTGTCTGTGCTTCCAAGAACTGATATCTATGCCACAGAGTCCTATTGTTGTCCAGGCCTTTTGAAAACACATCAGTGACATGAGAAATTCTCCTTGATTACCATAATCACAGACTGTATATAAAAAATGGACGTAGCCACTGCATCTTGCTTCCAGTGATCTTAGGACCTACCCTTGTCGTACCCTTGTTGTGTTCAGCAAGACTTAAAAGCAGCGATTGAGACCATACATAGTTCATATAAGAATTAAATAAGGGCTTAAATCAAGAGAGCCAAAGGATTTTTCTGATAGTCTTGTCCTAGCAACCACCTAATGATTAAGTTTTTTTTTTTTTTTTTAAATTGATGTGACTTAGCACTAATTAGCATGTATGCACATCTCTGCAGTATACTGATACAACTGTACAGTCTATATATGTGCCTTGTTAATTAGACTGGAGAGCATGGGACACCATCCTCCAATCTGAAAAGTTTGGTGAACCATGCTGGTTTTGGAGCAGAAGTAAGCGCAGTTCAAATGCTCTGCCAACCATCTTTCATATACAGTCTATGGTATTTACCGTTCTGCTTTGGTGCGGAGTGCGGAGAGACACATGACTGGATTTCTCATATTGTTTTTACATGTACAGAACATGCTGGCCTTATTTTGAAAGTAAGGATTTTACTTAGTGCAGATACACATTTTATATCTGTGTCTGTATAAATATAAATGCTACTGATAATATATTTTAACTTTTCCAGACTAAATTACACAAGAAATCTAAAAGTGGAATCATTGGAAGCCTTATAAACTTCATTATACAGGAACAGACACGAGTTATTTGGCACAGCCATGCATACCATCATGCCAACGCTACTTTTGAAAAAACAGCACTGTAAGAACAGAAAATCATGCGGCTTTAAAGTGTTGCACTTGTGGACGACTTGCTGTGCTTGGCAGAGTCGAAAACGGAGAAACCTAAAGAGAGCCTGAACACACTCGACTAAAGGCGACTTCAGTCACTGTTATTTGAAGATGAAATAAGTCACAGTGAGCCAAAAGGGGCCTGATGGGAGCTATCTACTGTTTTTTTATTTTTTCTAATCAGCTCTTCATTTCACGCTGCCAGCGAGCATATGCTCCTCATAAACACTGGAACACTGTTTAACGTAATAAACGGCTTTTCCCTTTTTAAGGGTACTCTTTGTGATGAAGTAGTGGATGTCTTCACTTCATGTGAGTATTTCAGTTTAAGCACATCATAAGATCAATGACGCGTCCACTCTTTGCTTCTTCACAATGTTATGACTCATGCATTAAAAATATATACTTTTAATCCAAAGTAAAGTGAAACGAAACTAAATTACATTTAGTTCCCCGGTGAAAGTGTAAGTGAAACACACACACAGAGTGTCGCTCTGCTACCCTGTAGGACGAGCGTTGCGGTTACATTGAAGAGGAAAAGAAACATAAGGACCCTCCTCTTTCCTCTCAGTCACACACTGTGTTTAACTTTATCCTGCACTCATACTCAGCAGTGGTTAAACTTAGCCAGATGCAGAACTAAGATTTCTGCTGTGAGGCTATATCACGCTGGGAAGTTTCCCACAGTTGTGACACTGGATGTGAATCAACAACCCAAAAGAGAGCTTAAAGGGCATACTGGGCTTACAGTATAAGCCCATTAACATTTCTTTTATTTAAAAATGTTGTTGAGTCCTTGAACATTCCTGCTATATGAGCCATCCAATACCTCAGATTCTGCAGACGTAGCCGGAAAGACTTGCTGGAACTGTATGTCAGCGTCCTTCAAAGTGAAAGTAAACATAGCTGATTCACTATGAAAACAGTTACAGATAATCAGTGAAGCGTTCTACGCTGTAACCTACTACCACAGTCACAGTCGACATTTTCTGTTCCCAACACACACTGTTGTTGCTTCACTGAAAACTTCCTGAGCATCACTTCCTGTGCTGCATGGAAAACCTTTCTTTCTTTCTTTTTTCTGGTAAAAACCCAGTGAGCATAGTGTGGGTTTTTATGGCAACCCTGTCTACAGAAGGGCTGCGATCCTGTGAAATATTAAATAATATTTAATAATAAACTTAGTGAGAATGAGTGATCTACAAGATGTTTCAATTCTAAAGGGGTCAGTCCATCGCAAATCAACGTGGGCCTTCAACATGACCGTCTCAGATTTGCATTTAAAAAAGTCTGCAGATGTTTAATGACTGCAAATATGTTGCACAACATATATTAAAAAGAAAAAGGTTTGTCAACCCACTTTTACCCCTTTGATTAACATGTGCGAACATGAATTTAAAAACAAACAAACAAATATTTTCCCTGATTTTTGTTCCCATCCAAATGAACCAAGATCTGTAATTTGGGACAGATATATTCAAAAATGTCAGTCTATGCTAATGTGAGATGGAATGACCCATATGTGAGCTAGAATAATACAAAGACGACATATAAAAAGAAATGTCATCCTTACGATTTGAATGTGAGCAACATACAGACCAGAAAAGTCACGTAACGCTTGACTTTCCTCATCAGGTTAGGATTTAGTTGCATATAAGCAGGCAATTTATTTATATAGCGCTTTCAGAACAACTCCCAGATGAACACACAGTGTTGTACACTTGACATGCCAGAAATGATACATTGAATAAGTTAAAAAAAATAAAATAAAGATAAAAAATTGTAAAAAATAAGATGATAATTAAAATGACATTTAAAATAATAAAATCAGCACAAATAGCAAAAAATAAAATAGTATAAAATGATCATTAGAATTACATGTAAAACAATAAAATGAGCACATTAGATTTAAAACAATAAAATCAGGGTCATACTGTGTCATATGTCAAGGAGTAAAAATGGATTTTAAGACTTGTTTTAAAAGTGGACAGTGAAGGGGCCTCTCTAATGCGCAGGGGCAGATTGTTCCAGAGATTAGGAGCAGCAATAGAGAAGGCCCTGTCCCCTCTGAGCTTTCTCTTGGACCTGGGTACCTCCAGGAGCAGCTTGTCAGCTGACCTGAGAGACCTGGGGGGTGAGTAAAGATGCAGAAGCTCAGAGAGGTAAGTTGGGGCAAGACCGTTTAAACATTTAAAAACAAACATGAGAATTTTAAAATGAACTCTAAGATATACAGGCAGCCAATGGAGTGAAGCGAGGATGGGAGTTGTGTGTTCTCTTTTACGAAAAAAGATACCAGAGAGGTATTTAAGAGTCTTTAAGAAGGAAAAAAGTGAATGTTTAAAAAAACTGAGAATTTCATTATATATGGTAAATATATAAACAGCATGACCATGTAGTGGAAATGACTGCTTGGGCTCAGGAGCTCTTTATTTTTAACTCTGCCACACAAACAAATTAAACTACAACAAGATCCTGAAATTCCAGATCACTTTCTCTGGACACGAGCTCGTTAAGGATGGACTGAGGCGACTGGAAAAACCTTTCTTGTCATCAGACTGATTAGAAATTTGAATTCATGAAAATCACAGATATCTGTTTCTTCAGAGCTGAAGGCTTGTTCAGTTAAAAAGTCCGTGTCAGTGAGGATAAAGAGGAGTATAGTTGCTTGAGGCATGGGTAACATTTAGTTCTTAACATTTGTGAAGGCAGCGCTAATGATGAACCATCAACACACGCTGCCATCGTGACACCATTTGTTTCCCGAGGAGATTCAGTAAGATGGTGCCAAATCACATTTTGCATCAGTCTGCACAGCAGCATGTAAAAGAGTCCCGGTGTAAGCTGGTGGGCCCGCAGCTCACACCTCAAAAACATTTCACCAGTTTTTGAAACTAAAAAAATAGCCAAAGCGAGGCTGCTGATCATCTTAAAACCTACACCAAGCTTATAACACTGTCGGCACTGCAACGACTGCTCTCCCTAGGCCTCAAACACTTACACTCAGAGTGTTGCTGTTAAAAGTGGTGAGCAACATTGCACAATGGTAACCAAGCCCATGTTCCCACGGTAGCTGAAGCAAAATGAGGATAGCTTTTTAATAAAATTAACATTTCTAGCTTTTGACAAGCTGTCTTTATGGTATTTCTGCAAAATTCAAAGTTAAAATGAGTTGAAAATAATTAGATTCTGTTCCAAACTTGTTTTTGTGGAAACATGCACAGAGATTATTACTGAAGTTGATTCCTATATATAAATATCTAATATTTCAAAAAGTTAAAAAAGAAAGGATTAAGTCAACCACATGTAAAGATAATGTCTTCAAACTGTTTGTTTGTTAGAAATCTAAAGCGAACAGTTTTACAATCATACGTGTCAAAGAAAAGAAACAAAGTCACATTTGTGAACATAAAAGCAGTCAATGTTTGGTGTTTTTCTGGATCAATAGCTAAATTACTGAATCAATTCTGAGCTTGTGTGGCTACGAAATCCCCCCCAAACAAACAAAGATGATGCAATCGCCAAAACCAAAACATAATTACACATGCCAAAATGTTCCACCTCACTGTGTAATTTAACCCTCTGAAGTTTAAGCTGTCATCGATGAGGACTTTAATCCTAACCGTAACCCTAAATCCAACCCTGTGCTATCAGATTATGTCATTTTTGTCCTTTTTTAAAGTTGCTCTTCCAATTTTGGCCATCAAGGGGCAGAAAAAGGGTTTGGGGTGGTCACCAGCGACCACTTAGACCTCAGTGGGTTACAGTCAGGGTCTTGTGGATCCACAATTCCAGTGTCTGTAACCACTGTTCAATTAAATGCTCAACTTTCACTTGATTGAATGGACTCAAATTAAAATGATTATTATTTATAGTCACTAACCTGTGTCAACGGCCTCCTTCATATAAACAGCACAGTATGGGTTCAGCACCTCCTCATGATAAGCCAGACCCGGATCAATCTCAAAGTGGGAAAATCCGATCCGCAGGAAAGGCGACATGTCTGCAGACTTTTACCGTCTGACCGCTGCTCAAATATCCAAACAGCCTCCACAGATGCGCTCCGGATGAAGTCCTCTTAGTTTGAATAGATGAGAAATAGATGAGATTTGTGAGCTTTGAGAGCTCGTGCACTGGTGTGAACCACCTCTCCTCCACTGCAGCATGCACCGACTGCCCCTCTTCCTCCACAGGAAAGATGGGCTAGCAGAGGGGAGGAGGCAGGGAGTTTTTTCTTTCCACCCCTGACACTTTAAAGAACCTGTAAAAAGGAAGAGAGAGAGACACAGACATTTCATCACCCGTGACGCCGTAACCACAAGCTCTTTCCCTGCAAACATGTAACTTTTATCTGCTCCAGCTGGCTGTTACAGCAAGTTTTAAAATCAAATCAACAACAGAACTTCTTCTCGTACACTCTCCCCCTGATAAAATGTCTCAAACCACACATTTAATGAGAGGACAGGAACGCATCTGCCATGCTTTGCAGAGTTTCACACATAAAGCACTGCGAGCAATGAAAAAAAGCAGCCTGCTGAACCTAACTGCACCTAAAAAAAACCCAACCTCTCATAACTTTAGGGCTTGTAAACAAATAATCTCTTTGCTTTGTGCGACCAGCCATGCTAATAATCACAGTAACACACCTATAAATCACTTCCTCTGCGACCGCTGCAGTGTCTTCGACTCGGTCAAGGCCGATGTGACATTTGAGGCCTGCTGAAGAGCTCTGTGTGTGTGTTTGTGTGTGTGTGTTTGTGTGTCAATGTCAGTCCCAGTGGTGGAGAGAAGACAGGGACTATTAATAGAGCTGAAATACTAAACGCAGATGTGGAATATATGACAGCATGCGCCTGAGTCTGCAATATTCATCATCATTCTTTACTGTAAAGCTTACTGTGCTTAAGTAGCGTCATGTGAACTTGTGTACACTGCGTCAGCGTAGTTCAACATCTTAACAAAGAGAATTTTTTAACTTTTTAGCTCCCAAAGTAAAGCACGAGGTGTTTCATGCAGAATTAGAATTTGAGTTGAACAAATCGAACTAGCTAACGGAAGCTTAGCCCGGTGGGCCAAAATCAGCCCGGTGATGACATTGGACAGATTTAGAAATGTGAACCAGTATAAATTTTGAACTTTTAATTGACATTTTCATACTTCACCCGAAAAGTTAACTGAGACATAAAAAATTAAATACCAGCATTAAAATAACAAAAACATTGTATTTTATAACAGTCTGTGAACAGTCATAACTTTTTCTGTAATTTAACAGGTTTATCATGCAGTTTCACAGGAAGATCAGAATAAATTCCTGCTATGTATGATGTAGGACAGTAATGACAACATGGAAGAGATGGCACATCCATTCCTGTTGGGTCCTTTTAACTCAACAAATCAAAAAAATGTTTGATTTCTAATCAACCGTGTATCATATAATTATCATTCAGCTCGACAGTAAGGCATTTTTGCATCTTTCAGCTTATCGCATTGTTTTAAGAGGCAACTTTTGTCCAATGTTTTGTACTTTGGTCACATCTGCTGATCGCTTTCAGCACAGTCCTTAAATACCACACTGGACTACAAACTTAACACCTGACCGGCATCATCAGGTGGAGGATTCAAAAACTGTACATAAAACCAGCTGAAAGCGTGAGGGCTTTCTCTGTTTGGTTGCTGTGTTTGACCCGCCCCTCCCCCAGTGTCAGCGGATAGCTGTAATGAATGCAGTTTTAGTTTTAAACCAAGGTGGGCATCCTTCACGTCTCTAGTGCTAGGCTATAAATAAAATAGACGTGAAAGTCAACACAAAAGAATGAAAGCTTTTTAATAGTGCATGTTTGAGGTATGTTTGATACAATGCTACTCTATGCGAACACAGTTTAATGGCATGCAGCTACCTTGGCTCATACCACATGCTAATCCAAGCCATGTTAACTTGCCTTTTGAGTAAGTGGCTGTTGTCGCAAATACACTCTTCCAAACTCCAGGTACTCCCAGTGTGAAGCCCCCTCCGTCAGTGCCCCCCATTGTGCATTTTTGTAAAAATACTCCCATTGCAAAATATTAAAAAAGCAGCCAGTTTCTGGGAAAATCTACACCCCCAAAGTCTGTGCATTATAAAAGTATAATGCTGAAGCTAAAGATATATATTCCCCAGACAGTTCGAACTAAAAGGAGAATAAACATTAGGCTTATCATCATGGAGGGAAACAAAAATATAAATTTGTTATGCACAAAATGTCAAACTATTTGGCAGCTCAGAAGCCACAATTACAGTATTTCATGAGCCATTTCTTAAAAAAACAAAACAACAACAAAAAACAAAACTGATTTACCAGGTACTAAAATACTGCACACTTTTAGTAAACCAGGTATAACTTTACTCTCGGAAATGTTGTGGCCTCTTTGAACTTGCTTGGTTTGTTCACATTACGTTAGTTTGAGTGGCTGTATAGATTCCATTACCAATACCATTAAATTTCCATTTAAACCACTGAACTAGTCAGCGTGGTATCACACAGGGTGAAGAAACCCAGCAGTTATTCCACATGTTAATCCCTGACAGCTTTCTCTATCACACATACAGCAGTTTCTGAATCATAGACCATTGGGTAGAAATGATCTAACCACTTACTTTTTTGAGCTGTTACTACATAAATTTCGATTTCTTTCATCCTTTTTGAGAATAATCTTCATTTTACTTGAAGTTGCCATTTTTTCCCGAACTCTTACATACTGAGAACTATAATACTGATAATGCTAAGCATGTGAAACTAGGACACAGTTATACTTGTGTTTTTAATACGTTTATGAAAACTTTATAGACTCTCAATTTGAATAAGCCTGAAAGATGTGAAGGTTAGACTTCACTTTTTACTTTAATGTAGCATGTTTTGATAAGTAGTTACGTCCCTATACACACAGTAACATTCGGCGCTTCGTCTGTATATCCTTGGCCCTGATGTTAGTATCACAAGTGCATGCCAGCACTTACGTTCACACACTCCCACACAAGACTAACATCACAGATTCAAACTTTTGAAATATGCAGAGCAGCAGCCCTCCCTCGCAGTTTTTCGTGTAGGTTGAACCTGTTGTAAAAGGCTGCGTTCAAGCAGGAGGAGTTACACTTCCGGTGCTCTGTTACATCAGTGCAACCACACTTCCTGTTTCTGAGCGGTTTAATTTTTTGTTTTTGAAGCCTGACAGGTGGGGCTGTAGCAAATTTGAGATTGAAAAACAAAATCAGACCCAAAACCCTGCTGCTCTAAATTTTTCAAAAAGGCGGGAGGAGGATAGAGAAAGCGACGCGAAGCTGAAAGTTTTCTTTGCGATGGGTTTGGAAGATTTAGGTTAGAAACTATATGTAGATTATCATATAAATGTGAAATGTAAAGCTTTAACCTGACTGCATCAAAACAAGCTGTACACTGATCTTGGAACATCTGCATTAAACCTACAGTTGCGAGAAGTTTTCTATTAGACCACATAAAATAAAATGTGGTCTGAGTACTGATCGTTATTGGTGTTGCAGTAACAGTCAAACACACAAACACATAATAGCTGAATAATATGTGAACATAATGTAATAACTTTAGCTGGAAAAAGTACGTGAACGTCTGAATTTAGTAATGTCTAGAACCTTTTTTTTTTACCAGAAACACCTTTAATCAGACGTTTCCTGTAGCTGATTATGAGGCTTAGGCAACAATGATGACACATTTCTGGACCACTCCCTTTTATGTGACTGGTTTAGTTCAGCAACACTAAACCTCTCCTGCCAACGACATTTTTTTTTAAATTCATTGCTCTCCTAATGATTGAAACCCATCCAGGCCCTGAGGTAGGAAAGCAGCTGAAACCATGTTGCTCCCTCCGCCTTGCTTCACAGTTGAGCTGAGGTTATGTTATGTGCCTGCAGAGTCCCTTTTACTTTCAGTTTTTTTCCTCCAGGGATTTTCTGTCCACAGAAAAGTGTCCTAGAAGTGTTGTGAAATATCCAGGTGGTCTTTTAAAACTATAGGATGTTATCTAGCCACAGAAATGTCTCCAGGTGTTGTGGTGCTACTCTTGTCTTTGTGATCCTTCTCTTCTGAGGTCCAGTGAAAGTTGTTGTGACTGAGGACTGGTTCGAACTCCTTTAAAGTGCAGACAGTCAGTAAATTACAGGGAGGGGCACCTGTATAACCTCCACTTTTTACTCCCACTGTTGTTTTTGTCAAGGTAATTAGCAGCAGAGGTTCACTTGGTTTTTCCAGGCACGACTGTGAAAGATTGCTGGATGGGTTTATCACTACCACTCATGGAGGTACAAAGAAGGTCAAAACTGTTTTGTTTTTTTTTACTATTGGGGTGGTCAGATTGAGTTTGTATATAACTGTAACTTCAATGAACATCGGATAATATTCCAGTTCCAGTTCCAAAGGTTTTATGATGTTGTCTCAGAACTGTACAAATGAAAAGCCTTTGTTGTAATGAGCTGATACTGTATGGTGGTGTCATGGCAATGCATCATTTAGAAAGCAGCTGTCATACAACAAAAGCACTCCCTTAACCTTTGAGAAATTACAGCCATTCGTATACAAGGTCACTTATTTCCAGGTGCTTAAATGTAAGTGAACAGATTAAAAATAAATAAAATCGCAATTTTTAATATTTGCCAATAACACTCTGCAGGGAATGGTGGCCTTTAGTCTATCACCACAGAACGAGTTTCCTCCTTTGTGGTGCTTTCTGGGTCTTCCTGTCTAATGGCCCAATTATGCTCTCCCTTTCGTGGGTTTTGCGTGCCAATTTTGGCGTGACATCATCTGTTGAAGGACACGGTCTTTGTGGCGTTGGTCGTGCACCTCTCGATTCTCGTAACCACGGCCACCGCAGCTGGATTGAAGATGTGAGTGTACGCTCATGATGGTTTTTACTGTCATTTTAATTATGTCCCAGTACAGAAGCTCAGAGACATACAGGTATACAGAGGGAGGTGTTGGAACAGTTTGCAAACTTTAGAGTTTGTCCAAAAAACAAACTCAAAGTCTTGGCTTCCGGTTTTCACTTCTTCTCCTCCTACATCAGCGCTGATTGGGGATATTGTCTGAGTGGCGACATCTATCGTTGAGGACAATACTGGGGCGGCTTCCTGCGTGTAACGGCGGGTATAAATACAACTGTGAAACGCGGTTACTGGCCTTTAGCCTTGTCTTCAGTGAAATGCAGCCCAGCTGGGTTGAGAACAAATGACTGATATTGGCCTGAATCACACAGGTCTAGAAACCAGTTGGCAACCACTGGTTGCTAGGTAAACATGGCTATTACCCGACCAGTTGGCGAGGTGATGGCAGTCAATTTGAAATTGACTGTTAAATCCACAGTCGAGTAGGTCTAGAGAGTTGTCAGTGACTCCCTGCCAACCACAGGTTATTTTCTGAGTGGCTGCTGCAGGCTGCCAGCAAACTGGCTAGCTGAAATCGGTTTTCGTGAAGTTTACACAGCTGTACCAAAAACCTCGGTGCAATTACAAGAATGTTTTTGGTGCAGCGCACTCTTTGTGACCAATTTCACCAGCAACCACAATGGCAAAGGCATTTTTACCCAGCGACCAGGTGATTGTCAGGGGGTCACTGAGCAGTCTCCAGGCCCGTGTGAGTGGACACTGCAGAAAAGCTCCTGGGTTGGTTCGACACTAATTCAGCAGGCTGCTCCTGTCTCCTGTCATCATCA